TTAATCAATCTTAAGCTTATTGAGCATTCCGATAATAAATCAACATTAAAATCGCCACATACAAATAATGTTTTATTCCTCCGTGCGACTCGTCTCAATGCTTCCTCCATAGCCAGTTCAAAAGAATCAAAACAAGCCGATGGCGGACGATAAACGCAAATTATTATACAAGTAACTAATTCTACGCAAGATAGTTCAATTGTTTGCTCAATAGAAATATTTACAATGTCTTGACGGTTTTTATATTCTACATCATTTTTTAAAATAATAATTGACCCGCCATGAATGGCATTGTTCCTAGCAAAAAAACTAGCTATATTATAATGTTCAAAAGGACAAATTATTTCATATTGTTTAAGCCAATGTTCTGTCAGACATAACACCCGTACATTGTTAGATTCTAAGAATAGACTTAATTCTAATTCTTTGCTGGAGAAGCCACGAATATTTTGATGAATAATGACCATATCCTGTGGCTTAACCAATGTCGTAGATGTTAGTTTAAATTAACACATGTCACATTATTAGTATTATTACTAATATTAAGAATTAAATCCGTTATACTACTTATAATGGGATCATAAATGTTATACGCTAGTAAACTAGCAATAGTCTTTTTTTGTTTTTTAGGAAGATAAAAATTACCTCCCGTCATATAATAATTTGTAACAAATTTGTTACTTTCAAAATAAAATATATCATTACAATGATATGTCATCGAATAAATTAAATTATTTATACTATAAATGAACTTATTCTGTTCATTAGTCAGGGATTGAGAGTAGGGAAATGCGCATAATAATATTTTACCTATACCAAGCTCCACTATATTATATAATGATTTTATTAAATTAACTATATCAGATTTACGCATATGCAAACAATTCCCTAACGCTATTACTAGGGTCGTGTGAATATCATATTTTTCATTTACTATATTTCTTATAATCTTATATATACCTGATCCCGGAAAACAATTATTTATTACTTGTTGCGAGAGACAGTTCGATAATAAACTACCTAAATCCTTGCCAAATTCATCTGAATAAATAATTGTTCTCCTGATGGTTTCATGTACAGTGCTGCATTTATTTACTTTTGTACTGTTTCGTGTGGGTAAACATGAAACGTCTGGTTCCGTGACGGATGAGATATCAATGTTCAACTGATTATGGTGGGACGGTTGGATATAGTTATCAGACTCTGGTGAATTACAGTGACATCTATCCGTAAGAGAAACAAACCGCTCCATGTTGTAGTTACCTAATTTTATTAAATTATCCAACTGATCAGAATATTCATGTATTTCATTCTTAGCTGATTCGTATTTCAAAGATAAATTGGACAACGAGTTCTCTAATAGTTTAATTTTTTGTGATAATTCATCTATTTCTAAATCTTTGTTATATATTTTTTCTTTACAATTATTTAATTCTATTGATAAGTCAATTTTTTGCTTCCTAGTAATAATTGATTTTAAACACTTTTTATGACTTTTCACTAAATTTTCTGATTTTCGAATAAATTTATTTAATTTTACATATTTTTTTAACTTATTATTACTATTAATAGGTACTTTATTAGGACTATAGGAGCTTGGTGTATTTGTCAAATCTATGGTCACAAGGGGCAGAGCAGATGTTTGATCACTAGTAGTATTTAACATTTCTGTATACAGATCCATGGTCTCGTTATAACTACTCAACCGCCTGTGATCCAACAAAGATTTATTTTGTGATTGAACTTCCTCAAGGTGCCGCTCTAGATGAGTGATTTTCTGCAATGCTGACTCATATGTGTCTCTGCACAGATCATATTTATTTACAATATCTTGAATCTTTTCATTTTCGATATGTAGAACTTCAAAGTCTGTACTGATCTTCACTAGGTCATTCTTCAGAGCCACATATTTATCAGACATCAACTTAATTTCAATCTCACTTTCATCTCGTTCCTGTAATAAGGCCTTATTTAATTCATTGGATTTTTTTAACTCTAAGAGTGTCACCTTGAGCTTAGCATCAAGATCACATGCTCTGCGGGACATCATTTTTAATTATTAAGTTAAATATCTACGAAACAAGACAACAATGAATATTATTCAATAGAAGAAATACAGTGTTGAAAGTGCGCTATTTCCCTTCAATAAAATAATTTAATAATAAATAAATAAATAAATATTGTTAGTAAAAACTTTAAATACCAATACTGTTACAAAAAAATAATTAATCTTATATATTACCACTACAGTAAATATGTCTTAATTTGTCATATGATATCTAGCAATGGCTATGGATTACTAATATTGTATTGTTATTTAATCAAATACATAAGTTTAGTTTCGCACAGCTATTTGGAATATATTATCAATATGATAATAAATAAATTTTATGAGCTGTATTGCAATAACAATAATATTTTATGTTAGTGGGTAGTTTTTTTTTTTTCCTCTCAACAACAACAACCGATCTTCACTATCGAATATTTAACTTTAATATTATTGTTTATTTGTAAACGGATATAGTAATAGTGAAGTGTAATAACTGTATTTAATTATTAAAGGAGTCAATAGAAATCCAAGACTTCTATTGTAAATTACCAATACTTTGACAGTTGGCGGTCCCACAAATTTTGTAACGTAGATTTTTGTCACAAAGAAATCACAGATTTGCACACCAACAATAATCGACGTTACTTATGCCCAAAAACTCACTGATTATATACACTAGTATCGTTATTTCACAAGTAATAAATTAAAAACAATAAATAAATAAGAGCCAACTGACAAAGACTGTTATCGGCAGTGTTGCCAGAGAGAAAAAAAGTCATTCCTTAAACAGGAATAACCAGGGATCTTAAAAATAGATCCCGGTTTTAACCAAGTTTCTTGTAAACAAATTATGAAGGGTTCATATTTATTAATGATGTGTATAACATCATGTTTTTTATTGATGAGGCTCGGCAGTTCCACTGTATGGCCTGAGCTTGATCCATTATCTGTGATCTTATATATAGTATCAATAAGTAAAGCTACGTTGGACGGTGATATATTTGAATTTGATTGTTGTAAAAGGTCTAATAATGTTTTTATAATTGCTGAAATCTGAATATTTTTATCATGATTATTATTATTAAAAATGGGTTGAGATGGAGGAAGTGTGGGACTTTTTATGATCTCATTGTGTGCATATTGATCATATCCTCTTGAGAATTTTGGTAGGGCTTTTGGTTTCAGAAACACTGTCTTTTTATATGACCTATTTTGGTTATTTACAGGAACTGTATTTAATGTAGTATAGTTTGGAGATTTGTCATTATTTATATTAGATGGGGAGGAAGGAGCTGTAAGTAAAGCATCTGCATAAGACATTTTATTAACTGGTGGATGTAATTTGACGGCTTCCATATATGAAATACAACTCTTACTCATAGTCTCTTTAATTGCTTTTTGCCGGTCAAATTCTAAACATTTTTTACTATTTGCTTGGTGAGAACCCTTGCACAAGCAGCACCAATAGTCATTTTCATCAATATTGCAATTCTCCCCTGAATGTCCCTGTCCACATTTAAAACACCTTGGAGTGGCCCTACATTGGCTTTTAACATGGCCATACCTACAACAGTTGTAACATTGTACTGTGGGATATATATAAAGGGTTACAGGTAATGCAGTATAACACATATAAACTCGGGTTGGCAGTACTTGTCCATCAAAAGTAAGAACAACAGTGCCTATATTTTCAAATGTATTTGTATTATCGATATTAACTTTCCTTTTAAGCCTTCTCAATTTAAGTATTGTACCGCAACCTATTGGGACACTTATATTTTGTAAAATGTCTTCATCAGACCAATCAGTGGGGACACCCCTTATTACACCCATACGTGTAATGTTAAAAGTAGGAATAAAAGCTTTGTAAATAGTTGTTAAACTTTGATTGCATCTTATACATGAATTTGCTGCTGTGAAATTTGAGAAAGACAAACTAATTCTATTACGACCAATTCGTTTAAGACTACCATTCACAATACCATTAATTTCTTTACTTTTCAGAAAGCGACCAAATGTGACGGGATGCAATGTTGTGTTGCTGTTATCATCTGAGAATTCCGTCTGGACATGAATTATATATGGTGCTGCATCTGAAGGCTGATACCTAGTGCGAGCAATAGGTGTTCGAGTAATTTCAGTGTTTTGTGTAATATTATTGTTAAGAGCAGTAGAAACTGCATTTTGAGATTTGGAATTGACTTCAGAATCTTTATTATTATATTGATCTATTATTGTTGTTTCATTTGTTATGCATGTACAAACATTTGGTCCCATCCTTTTTGAACCGTGTCTCCTTTTCTTACCTAGACATGTACTACAAGTTGCACGAGCAACTCTTTTCCTTTTTAATTTTCCAGAATCAGATACTGAACAGTCAGTATCCATAGACGACTCTAAAGCCGTAATTAAGATGTCCATTGGAGTGTTTGGAATCTCATTTTCAAATCCTGGAAGAACTATAGTCGTAGTTCCCCCAGGATCGTCGGGCGGTTCGCCCATATAGAAATAAAATCTAACTTACCAATATGATATGTACACACCAAATTACACACTAAAAATAAATATAATAATAACACTAAATACAACTAAAATTACTAAAAACCAATCCTTAATCTATATGTTATTGAAATAATATTTCCTGAATTAAAAAACGCGTCCGGTCAAACCAAAATTTCCCGCCATTTTTTCGACAATTTAATTTTATCTAGATTCAGGGAAAGAGTAAATAAAGCGTAGAGCACAACAATATACATACTTTTTTTGAACCGTTAAAATTTCGGATTGATAGTTCTGTATGGGATCTTTTTTCTCCCCATTTGGAACTCCGTAAGTAAAATATGTGACAAATATTGTTAAATTTAGTTGCTATTTTAATCATAATCTGCATTAGTCCTTGTTATTCGATTTTATCGCATAGTCGATGAAGAATCGACTTTCCACAATAATATATAATCTGTGGTATCGATTCGAAATTTTCGAATGTCGTCTTTACATATTCCTTTTGAGTGACCAAATTATTTTGCCTCTTTTTCAACTATAATGGCATCGAAATCACTTGCAGCTCCATTTAAACGCTATTTTGCGGTAACTATTTATCATACTTTAGTTGTTTAATTTAATTTCACTTAATTGCCAAGACCCTCCCGATCTGTCAGACTGTAATAGGGGTATTACATAAACATTTTATACATACTTTTTAACTAATTTTCATGGGTATTATACCTAATATTTTACATAAATTCAATTCTATTTCAGAAATAGTGTTTAAATTGGTATACTTTTCTCTGCAACAAAGGTCTTTATATTAATGTTATCTGTTACTAGAAAAGGGGATACGCACAGGCAGTGCCTGCTGTGAAAAAGGATGTGCGAGTTCAAGCAACTGTGCTTCCTAACAAGACATTAGTAGCAGCCTTGGATAATGGTTCTCCAGTCACTCGTGTTACAATAGCATTTAAGTAAGTACATAATTTTTTTATTCGTACTTCGTGCACATAATCAAAAGACCACTGTACATGAACCATCGGTATGGCGGCATCTATTAATTTGTTCATAAAATAGGAAGTGCCTAGCTTAGGAAGCTAGGCACTTTCCTTCTATTTTATATATATTGAAAAATATTATTTGAATATTTCTCTCATTTGTTTATCTTGTGTGTTCATATTCATTTAACAACATAGTCTATGATAATGTTTTCATAAATCCTTTTTTTGAGACCTTTACAGAAATTGACATTGACAGTTTTCACTTACCTTTACTACTATTTTAAAGCCAATGATAGCCAATGATTAACTATCTAATGATTCATATTTTCCATGACAGGGCGGGATCTAGATACGAGCCACAAACTGAACTGGGCATCTCCCATGTCCTGCGCACTGCAGCAGGACTTACGACCAAGAATGCTAGTGTCTTTTTGATAGCACGAAAATTGGCACAAATTGGTGCTACTGTTAGTGCTTCTGGAGACCGGGAGTTTGTCTATTACACTCTCGAGGTAAATATTTTTTTATGTTAATGAATATTAATTATTAATGAATAGGTATAATTACAAATAATTTACAATTGCAAAAATGTTTAAAGAAAATGTAATACTGAATTTCAAAATATACAACTTGTACAATTAAATCATCTTATTATTTTGTTTATAGCTTTCAATTTATCTTATAACGGGGAATATTGTAATATTAGAAATATTATATAGTTAAAACATAATACTGATTATTTCACATTGATTTTATTTTAAATAATTAAATATTTATTAAAATATTTTTATAATTAATTACTTACATTATATGGTAAATAGAAAACACTTAGACAAAAATAATTAGATATTTTCACATATAACCTATTGTCAGAAAATTAAACATTGGAAAGTAAATAAATGTGTAATCTGCTTTAAAATTAAATGTATACATTATTTGGTCCTATAGACCATATTTAATTGATATTTGGTATTTTCAGGCCACTCAAGATAATCTTCCTGAAGCCCTGGCTTATCTGAATAATGTTGTGTCAAACCAAGAGTTCAGACCATGGGAACTTAGTGAGATTACTCCTCGTCAGAAATATGAGATTGCTTCTCTCCCACCACAAGTAATGATGCTATTGTTATTTATATAATTACAAAATAAATTAGATTTATGCCTAGTTGTAAGTGTATAAAACTTTTTTTTATTTATACCACTTAGGTGGCAAACAAGCCGTATGCTTGTTTGCCATCTGATGGTAAATGGTTACAGAATATCGTATATCGTAGAATATCGTAGCCTATGGACGCCTGAAACACCAGGGGTGTCACATGCGCGTTCCCGACCCTTAAGAAACCTTAATATACCCTTCTTGAAAAACTCCATGCTGTAAAACCCCCCCGAGGTTGTCTCTCGAGAAAACCTCGGCAGGTAGTTTATTCCACAATCTAAGTGTACGCGGGAGAAAGTTCCTCTGAAACCGCACTGTCCGAGACCACTTAGGTTCCAGCGCGTGGGGATGAATTCCCTGTCGATGGCGAGCGGTGCGATGGTAAAAGGTAGCCGTAGGCATCATGTCAAACAATGTACAAAACATGTTTATTCCATAATTTTAGTGAAGTGACTTTATGATAAATCTGCTTGAAGAACATATAATTAGACACTTTAGTATAATATGTCGTAATTCATTTTTAAAGCTATAGAGTTCTTTTTTGAGTAGATGATCTCCTGAAGGAATATATCTCTGATTTAATTTATCTGAAATAAAATAACCTGAAATATTAATTAAGAGGGAAAAGGATATTTTTTTATTATTTGCATGAGTTATTTAACAATATCATATAAATTATAAACTATATGCAATCTGAAGTTGCAAATTAAAAATGTATGATTGACATAAATTATGAAATCTGATTAAAGATGTGTTTGTGTTATTACTTCTAAGCCCTAAGTGATATGATATAAATAGGTATCTAATTATGGCATGATTTTGCTTTATAAAACCCAATTATTTACAGGTTCGTGCCATAGATCTTTTGCACAAAGCAGCATTCCGCCGTGGTCTTGGTAATTCCCTTTTCATTTCACCAAAGAGAATTGGCAAAGTCTCCTCTGAGTCTCTACAACACTATGCCAGCACAACATTGACTCCTGGTCGCTGTGCTGTAATTGTTGTTGGTGATAGCCAGGTATGATAAATATTTATACAAATGATTGTTATATCTACATCACTGTAATGATAAAAAATTGTTGATATATGATAAATATGTAATATAAGTTTAATAAATTTTAGACTGAATACTAAAGCTTTTATTATAAAATTATAACCTTGATACATTATTTAACTTAAAAATTTATTTGAATTTATGTTTTAGGAGAAAGCTACATTGGTTGCCCAAAACCTACAACTCCCAACTTCTGGTGATGCTCAGACTGAAGCATCAACATACTATGGTGGTGAACTTAGGTATAGCAGTTTATTTGTACTTGTAAGCCAGGGACATATTTTTTTTTAATTCCTTTGAGAATTCGCCATAATAAAATGAAATAAACTAACTCTATGCTCATCCTGTCATCCTCTACTAGTACTAATTATTAGTAATGGATACTAAGTTACTTAAGATTAACAACATATTTAGCAATTGCCATTTTGCTTAAGAATGCTATCAAGCGCTATTTTTCTGCAGAGATAGGGTTACTGAATGTATTTGTGTATTCCCAAAGCTTACTAAGTGCATTTTGAAGCTATTATGAAGTGCTAATGACAAAATATCTCAGCGTCAGGTATTTATAATATGATTACCGAATGTACGCCCCACCCTATGTACAAATCTCTAGCTGGTAGGACTATTTTGTAGTTACAAGATTAATGCAACAATGATTGTATAGGACTTTAGACTATAGATTAGAGTTGTTTGAGCAAATATTACTATTTTATAGGAAAGAAATTGGTGGTGATTTGGCGCATTTAGCAATTGCAGTCCAAGGAGCTCCAGCTGGTTCTCCCCAAAGTTTGGCATTGGCTGTTGCTGCAAGAGGTACATATATTATGTATTTATATCGCTAGCCGCACACTCCTTGTACTGTTATTCAATATCTTGTTTTTGTAGTTGGAATAACAAACAATCTGTGCCGCCACCTCATGGTAAGTGGTGGTAACCCAGTCCTCTGGAATAACAATGGCTTAGTACCAGCATTGCATTGCTTTTCCAGAAGACTAAGATCTCATGTCACTTATCTCAATATGTCACTGCCTAGACTCACCCTACAATGGCAACATAGCATACAAGCTGGCAGAAATAGGTGCGACAGAAGTTTACTTCAGTATAAATTTACTGAAGAATTTCTCAAGCTGTTACATGAAGTGGAGAAACAGTTAACTTACTATCTTCATGTCAGATTCCTTAAAGTGTCGTAGGAGACATGATAATGTGAATATTAATTTTCAGTTGCGACTATATTTGCATTTATTTGCAGCCTTTGGCAATGGTCCTGTTACTAAATGGGGTGCTGATAACTCCCCTCTTGCCAAAGCCGTTGGTAATATTGGCCCATTCGCTGCTGCCGGTTTCAATGTTTCATACTCCGACAATGGTCTTTTCGGCGTCGTGCTCTCCGTGCCAAAAGACGAAGCTAACGTTGTAAGTAAGACATGCCGCTATATAACAACTCATTAAAACAATAATTATAATTTTTATTATTAAATTAATTCATCACTAATATTAAGACATGTCTATTGTACTGGTTGCACAATACTTTTGTAGATTAGGGTTTCATAGGTTTTTAGGGTTGTTTCAATAACAATCAACGTACAATCGCCTTATGGCATCTCGATATTTTAAACAACTTAATGGGGAGTATTATCTGTTGCCTGTCAACTCAATGTTTCTTACAGTTATCGAATTTTTTTATATACTATATATATATTAGTAACCTCATTAAATGCTTACATTAATTTCAGTTGTTATAAATGTTATCCTGGTACTATAGCGTGTAGTGATTTAGTGCTAGAATAGCAATATGTTAAGCTCGAATTTGTTGCTTTTGAAGGAACATGCACATATTTTAATACATTTGTAAATTTATTCGCGCATTCTGTGATATCAACTTACGATTAGTTAGTCATTCTTTTGCATACAGTTTAATTACGAAGTTTTAATCATCTACTAACTTAAGTATAACTTAGCGGTATAAAGGTGGTATTAGCCTAGTTTTCTTTTATACTGAGATATACACCAGGGGTATTACATACGCTTTGCTTAACCATTAAGAAATCTTAATATACCTTCTTGACCAGTGGAGACAAATTAGAAGTATGGTATTTAAGAATATGCTATAAGTATTTAGAAGTATGCTATAAGTGTTTTACATAATTTGTTTTTATTGCAGGCCGCAAAAGCAGTCGCCAAATTGATCAAATCTTCATCTTTGAGTGGTGATGCTATTCAAGCTGGTAAAAACCAACTTAAACTTCAAATTCTGAGTGAAGCAGAAACGGGAACTTCTCTAGCCGAGAACCTCGCCGCTCAAGGCCTTTACACTGGAAATGTAAAATCACCAGCTGATTTGGCTAAAGAAGTTGATAATATTTCAAACAGCGATGTTTCCCAGGTAAAATATTCTAATAAATAACATAAGATATATCACTTTAATAAATATTTATGTTGGCAATTCAACAATATTTCTTTTATATTTGGGGAATCCATAAATTATGGTGATATGTTAAGAGGCGGCGGGGTATGGGATGGGGGAGGGATGAGTGTTGACAAAGTGTAATATTGTGTTGCAAGGGATGAAAGGATATTTATGTTTAAATGGAAATGTTATAATAATATAATAGCTTTGTTAACACAACATGCAACTTTTAGTGGATCAGAATTATAATTTATTCAGAACAAAATATTTCTTTACAGGTTCTTGCTAATGCAGCGAAATCAAAAATATCTGTGGGCGCCGCAGGAAACCTTGCATTTGTTCCATATGCTGATGAACTTTAAATTATTACCTACCTTTAAATGTTAATCAGATGATACAAAAAATCTAATGTATTAGTACATGTTGTAATTTATTATTGAATTAAATGATTCTGTTTTATATAAAACTATTATTCTGTGGTGATTCTAACAGATAAGTACTAAAAAGATGTCCTTCATTTGAGAGCTGTTTATAAGTCCATACAGATGATCCATTATTACCCTAGTAGCAATTCTTAAGTACCCATTAATTTTTAATATTTGAAGTATAATTATGAGTACAACAGTTAAATATTTCCATTAGTTTTATTTAAATGGAATGCTGAATCTGATTAAATTCAATATACAAATCTGTATTTAGTTTTAGCATTAAACATTACTAAAGTTTTATTCTATATAGTTTATGAAAATATTACATTGTCTGTGCTAGCTAGTGGTGGTTTAGATGAAGTTTACAATTGTCTCACTATTTCGTTAATACTTACATTTATTTATGGTTTCTAAATGATGTTTATAAAGAAATAAAAAAAAAATAGTTTTATTTTACTATTTTATTGAACTTCAGCTTCTGTTAATAACATATTTGGAATTCCTTTGGAAATTGGAAATTGCCTTCCTGTTTCTGGGCATATAAGATGTCCTTCTTCAACTTCAATTTCCAACAATACTTTATGAGCTTTCTTTAAAAACTCTTCATTCTCTTCAAATTTCGGCTCTACCGTTTTTGGTAGATCTTCACTATAACCAATACTATCTGCAGCACCCCAAAGAACTTCCCAATCTAATTTGGGTATTATTCGAGTGACAAATTCTGGGTTGAAATCTACTTCTGTCAGCTTCACATTCGTTGCTTTTATAGAAAGTGGATAACCGGTTGTAACACCTTTTAAACATTTTGAAGTAAGCATATTGTGCGTGATAAGCTTCATTTTATAGGATATAGGTACTACTTTTACAATTTAGTAAAATAAATTAATAATGTGAGTTTACAGTTCACACATGTCTGTAGTGCTGAAGTAAATAGGTTATTTTATTATTAATTTAGTCATAGAAAATTATTTATTTAGAATTCGTTAATATCTCACACTCTGTTACGTTTTTTACATAATTTGAATTTAATAATAAAGTAAATCGCGAGAAAATTTTGTACACTAATTATAGATGTGTCAACTCGATTTGTGCTAAGTATATATAATAAAGTACTCTGTGCTTGAAGTTAATTCGAGTAAAATACATCTGTCGCTAAAACTAAACAAAATAAAAGCGAGGGCGTCTTCGAAACATATTTATTTTATATATATACTATACTATTTTATATATACTTATTGCAGCATTTATTTCGTTAAGACTGCTATATACGTAACAAATTATGTTATTAAATATGAGAACTTGCTATAATAACTAAACTAAGATCAAAACCCAAAAATAAATGGGTAATGAATCTAGAGAGAAATGTCACATATTATATATGGAAGAACAAATATGGAAAAAAATAATTTGTATACCATACCTTGTGGCGATTCTACGGATAGCGCGCGGCAACACCGTAACAAGCCTGTCAGAGATGAGACCTAATCGTTTGTGTACTGATACTTTATTATTCGACTTATATATTTTAGTTAAACCATGCAACCATTGTAAATAACGCAAGAATATACATTTGTACATAACCACCACTGGACTCGTTATTTCATCTTTTTGTCGCTGTCCGTACCAGACGAACACAATATAAATAATAGCGGTAACAATCTAGCTGCTAAAAGTTTCTATCTATTACTCGTTGTGTAAGTCGATTACAATTCGGTTATCTGATTTTAACTCGATGTACTCAAGTCCTTTTCCAAGTTGGCACACCTGTAACGGTTGTTTGCTATTTCCTTTCATACTCTGTTTCTACAACCCACAGGCCCTTTTGGTATATTTACTTTACTCTTTGCCACAGCCATAGAAGACATTTCAGTTTACCCTAGTTTAAACTGAATCTGTGGTACTCCTAATCTATATCTATATTATCTATGTCACAAATTGACAAATCAAAATTTGTTGTCGTATAATATTTTCCCATATTCGCATTTCATATCAACTGGTCCTTTAATTAATTAATTAATGTAAAATTATATCAAATCCAGCGTATAGAAGGTATGAAGACACTGAGAATAGCGATGTCGATATCAAATTTGAGACGGTTTTTTAATTGTTGAACTAAATAGATCTTTTTTCTTTCAGATTTTTCAATTCATTTTTGAGTTAATTCTGGAAATATAAGATTAACGAAAATATAGCAAGTATCAATCAAGTTAAAAATACAGCTATGAATATGGATACAGGAAGTGATTTATCATCTCGGTGCCAAAATTTAAATATAAGTGGTACAAATGATGTGAACAATAGGAGTAACCAGGCATCTACTCCTTCAAAGAAGAAAAATGCGAAAAAAAAAGAAAGATTGAAACCGATACAAATGCCAACACCATCCATTGAATTTAATTCATTAAGGGGACTGAGCAATTCCATGCAGCGGTTTTTTATGAACGAGGTAACACCAATGTATGCTAATAATAGTACAAGATGTTTAGAATATGCTTATTTTCCACAATACATGAATAACACTAGAGAAATGTCACATAATGTATATCATCCAAGAAGTGTTCCTAGCACACCAATATTACAAAATGGACAGAACATAATGGGGCCATCAAGCCCCCTGTTATATGCATCTCAACCTGCAACACCATTAGTACAAAATGTAATGCAACATCCTTTGTTAAGTTTATCATTGCCAAATGGTCAACAAAATCCTAGTTGCTCTCAACGCAATAATATTACACCAAACATGATGAAACAAAATTCTATGCATTTTTCGAAAGTTTATTATAAGAATTCTCCAAGATCTACAATGCAGCAGAAAAAAAAGCAAATGACTAAAGATGACAAAAAATTTGAACCACATTTATCTGTAGAAGAAGTGCAACTGGGATTAAAAAACAATAGTTTCATTGAAGGTGTTCTCAGAATAAATCCTAAACAATTTCAACATTCATATGTCTCAAGCAATGATCGCAGTGAACAAGACATTCTTATTGATGGAATTAGAAATCGTAATCGTGCTTTGGAAGGGGATATTGTTGTAGTTCAATTAATATCAGATAGTGATAGTGAAGATGGTGCAGATGACAATAAACAAAAGAAGGGTAAAGTTGTTTATATTAAAGAAAAAGTTCATACTCGTGCTTGTATTGGAAAATTGAAACTGATGCCTGACAAAAATAGGCAAAAAGCTTTATTTGTTCCTCGTGATCATAGAGTACCACGATTAAATATACCATTTACATGTTGGCCTGACAATTTTTATTATGATGCTAAAAATTATGAAAATACTTTATTTTTAGCCAAAATAATAGATTGGTCTGATACTAGATTTGCTATTGGAAAAATTGAATGTAATATAGGCCAGTCTGGTAATATGAAGACAGAAACAAAGGCTATATTAGCACAAACAGATTTAGATGTAACACCCTTTGGACCTGAAGTCAGAGGGCTATTCCCTAGTCAAGATTATGTAATACCTGAAGATGAAATTAGGAAAAGGGAGGACTGTCGTGCACTGTGTCTATTTAGTATAGACCCATTTAATTGTCGTGATATTGATGATGCTGTTTCATGTAAAGTACTAGATAATGGAAATTTTGAAATTGGTGTGCATATTTCAGATGTGGCACATTTTCTTACTGAAAATACAATACTAGATGAAAAAGTGGCAGACAAAGCAACCACAATTTATTTAGTAGAGAAAGCATATCACATGTTGCCTGATGAACTGTGTATGCTGTGTTCTCTTTTTCCTGGTATTGATAAACTGGCATTTTCTGTGTTTTGGGAAATAACCAAAGATGCAAAGGTAATCAGTCACAGGTTTTCAAAAACTGTAATTCATTCTTGTTGCCAATTAGCTTATGATCATGCACAGGCAATTCTAGATAATAATGTGGATGCTAAAGATAAATTTCCAGAGACATACAATGGATTTCAATATTCCGATATACAAAAGTCAATTAAAATATTAGGTGAAATATCATCTAAATTTCGTAGGCGTAGATTTGAGAATGGGGCATTAAGAATTGATCAATCGAAAGTTGCCTTTCAATTAAATACTGCAAATGGGCTACCAGACTCTTTTTACATTTATGAAAGTAAAGAAAGCCATCAACTTATTGAAGAATTTATGTTGCTTGCAAACATGACTGTTGCTGAAAGAATTTATAATGACCACCCAAATCTGGCATTTTTACGGTGCCACCCAGAACCTAGTGCTTTTATGTTGAAACAATTGGCTAAATCATTAGAGCCCCTGGGCATTAATTTGGAAATATCCTCAGCGGCTGATTTACATCGGTCATTATTGCCACATGTGGGGCTTAATTGTACGGATAAAGGCAAAGCAATGGTGCTGAACATGTTATGTGCAAAGCCAATGACTAGAGCAAAGTATTTTTGTGCTCATGGTTGTGATAATGATGACCTTCATCACTATGCTCTTAATGTGTCTTTGTATACACATTTCACAAGCCCTATTAGACGTTATGCTGATATAATGGTTCATAGGTAATATATTTATTATCAATAGTATGATTCATTTCTTAAATATGTATTATTATTAACAGATAGCTTTAATCAAACTGTGTTTCAGCTTATCAGTAGGTATTGCAATATGTAGTATATATTTGTTCTGAGATAACATTTTTTAATGTAATTTAAGTGTCTGATAATAAATCCATTGTTGTTCCAATTTAGGTATCTAGTATAAGATGTAAATATGATATAGTAAGCATGTTTTGGATATTTGGAATTCAATGTTCTATGAAAGCAATATGTTTGTGGAGTTATTTTTTTCCATCTATATTTTAAGTTCCTACTTAAATCCGTTCAGTTGCTAATAAGTGTGTTTGTTAATATACACACACACAGTCACAGGCTCAATTCTCCCATGAACAAACATTTGTATATATGTCTGAGTATTTTCTATGTGAATTATGCAACTTCTGCTTAATTTAAGAGAAGACTGCTGAGCAGTGACTTTTTTTATACTATGGTGGTGGTAAACAAACATGGGCCATGTTTGTTTATGGATGCCTGAAACACCAGCGGTGTTACATGCAGGTTGCCATTGTCCTGGGTTATTATTATTTTCTTTTAGGCTACTGTTCTTAGAGATAAAGTCAGAACTAGTCAGAAATATTTATTTTAATGTATTCTTTTTTCAGATTGCTAGCAGCCAGCTTGAAGTATAGAGAAGTACCAACATGGGATGTAGATAAAGTTCGCATGATAGCAGCACAATGCAATAAACAAAAATATAATGCTAAAAAAGCAGGAGAAATGTCAACAGAACTATACACTTTGAAATATATTGAATTAAATTCACCATTTGTTACCGAAGCTGCTGTTGTTGATGTACGAGAAAAATACATTGATGTAATTATAGTAATCATGGGTTTGAATAGAAGAATATTCTTTAATAATGTAAGTATAATTTTGTTTAATTTCCAATAATAACATATTAATTACACACACACAGGGCTTTTCAAATTAATTCCCTGTTTTTATTGAAATTTGTTCAGGTATAAATAAATGCTAAAGTTTATCAAGCTTAATAATATTTCGTTGAAAAAATAGTTGTGTAATATAGTATGGATGTGTAAAGATTTTAATATGAATTAATTTAAAATTACAACAAACTGACAAACATTACTTAAAAATATCCTTTGATGAATTCCATTTAGCATATTTTAAAATGGCCAGAGTAGTTTAGGGTTTGGTTTTTGATGCTTACTTTTCCGTCTTTTCAATTCTAAAAGATAAATTATTATCAAAAAGAATCTGTAATAACAAAAAAACAGTTTTAGTATTGTGTGTATTAATAGGATTGATTATAATTTTGCACACTAATATTATTAGTGTGCAAAATTAATTATTGTTTAAATTTATTAAATAAAATTTTTTTTTTTACTCATTCATGTGATTCACATAAAGTCTTAAACGGTAATTACAGGATTTTCCCGGTCAATATAAATGCATAAAAAATGATGCCGGAACGAAGCTCTCCAAAATGGAATTAACTTGGCATGCAACTGCTAATTTGCCCGAAATAACTCAAGTAATAGGAGTGTTCTCTATTTTGCAAGTTGAATTAAACAGAGATGATGATATGGTTAAAGTAGAAACTAAGTTAGTACGACCCAAATAGACAATTTAAAATGTTTATAATTTTATTTAAAATTAAAACTATTTTGACTACAAATTATAAAAAAAAGTGTACACTCTGTAAATAGAACGGTATATTTTTTTTACTTAATTGTTAAGTAATTTTATCAAATTGTGATAGAAATTTCTGAAATGTACTTTTTATCCTTATGATATGGTCTTAATTTTTTGCTTTTATTTTACAATTGAAAATGAATGTACTTATGTGATGAATTTTCTAAGATAATGTCTCGTCAAATCTATTTTTTTATTATGTATACCTATACGTAATAACATTTTTGACTGTTATAAACTATGATATATATATATTGTCATGTGCATGTCACATGTGTTTTATCTATATTGTATGCATACATGTATTTCTGACGATATTTTTCGCCGTTTTGAGAAAATAAGTAGTGTATAAAGTAATAGTACTATATGTAGTTAAACTAGAATTACATTTAGTACTAAGCGAATTCTATTCTCTGAAAGACATTAAAAATGGTCTACCATCCATGTATATACCTATGTACGCCGCGACCTAATAGTGACCGAACAATCGCTGAGCGTACGCGTCGAGCGTGCGAAGCGGCGGCAGCACGTAAATGTCAAGATAATTAAGACCACACCCAATCTTTCAGTAGACATTTTATCGCTCTCTGCTTCTTTAACGTAACGGTAGATTTATGCATGCCACTAGGGGTTACAAATTCAATTCTGGAATAATGTAAACTGTAACCACTCTAAGTTATCGAATATTATTCTACAAGAACATTTTCCCACTGTATGTAAGGTATATATATACTTCTTTGCTATGTTCTTCTGTAGTATGTAATTCGTTAATACTTTATAAATAGGTATTTCTTCATATAAATGTTAAGATAGAATTAAAAGTTTGTTTCTAACATTCTGTTAACCATAACAGTATGGCAGGTTTGTCACCTCATATTTACAACCGATAGCCCGCGAGCCAGCATCAGGTCATTGACCTGATGTCAATGTGAACACTTTCCTCCGTGTTGAAAACTTCTATAATGGTCACGGTAGTTGATTTATGTAGTTTAGTGAATGTCAATTGCCGTTACGAGGGTGGGTTAAGGAACAGGACCCTCACAAATAATCATTATTTTTTTAATTAAAATAAACCTTATGCGCTACAACTTCAACTTTCATTTCAATCCTTATTTAGGAAATTTATTGTAACATATTATCTACTCCTTATTAGATTCGGTTGTATAAAATGTAACGGCTATTATGTTGTACTGTATGATATAGAATATAAACTATGCATTATAACTTCAAAGTCCATTTCAGTTCTTGTTCAAATTAGTTGAAATTATATTAACATATACTATTTTGTCCAGTGCTCAGATGGCGTTGTAAAAAATAAAATGGCGCTATTTAGTTTGTTTGCTTTTTGGCTTACATTGCGTTGTACAAACAACGCCATCTACTAAGCAGTAGTACAATCTGTTAAAATAAGTTCTCTAAATAAACACTATAAAGTTATTGTGCATAGGATCTATTTTCATCAAAAAAAAAAATGTTTGCGGGGATGGGTTGAGTAGCAGGACCCTCCTGCTATTCAACCCATCCCCGAAACCGCAGTTGACTTTCATTAACTTCATAATACAATTATCTTAAGCATTTTAAAAGTTTTCGGCCGAGAAGAAATAATTTCGGGTACTACTATAGCAATAACACTACCTTGTATTATTTCATTAAGATTAATTACATAAGTCTGTGTATGCTTTATTTTATCTTACATTTATAAGTAGTCTTAATGTTGTAACGATGCAAGTTCGTAATAATGACATTAATTTAAAATATTGTATTAGAGTAAATCTTTCTTATCTAGATGTGGAATAGAGTTCAAATTAATTTGAATAATGAATAGTCACTCACTAATAATTTAAATTACAATTGTTCTTATTGACAACTATGAATCCTAATATTTGTATGAAACCCCTAAGTGTATGTATAATATTCGAACGCGTGAAAGCTATGAACAGATGGGTTATATTGTACATAAAACCCTTTTGAGATTCTTTCAGTTTAAATTTTACTACATTAAATATCATAATAATCGATATAGCAATTAAATTGCGCATGTTTTTTTCGGTTATGTCATGTACTTATAATGTATATAGCATGAAGCCATACCATGTGCGCTGTAGCATGGTGCGGGTGACAGTTTGATTAACGTTTCGTTTCACTCTTAAAAGTTGCCGCGATTTCCAAATTATGACTTAGTATTTTAGCTGTACCACATTCGTAATATATTAAATCATTAATAACTGTATTAATTTCAATGTAGCAATTGTTAAATGTAAAATTAGTAACTGTCACCCGCGCCGTGCTATAGCGCACACAGTATAGTAGCAGTGTATTAACACTGTTAAAACAAGGGGAAAATAATGGGTGTATTTCATTAGTGTATTCATATATGTTCATATAGTCTGTGTAGTAGCAGAGTTTATAAAATCCTTATTCCACGTAGGTATATCTGACGGTAGATCAATCAATAATAACATCGTTTCTTAAGCGGTCTTAAAAATCTGGGGTTTGCTATTTTCTATGAACCATTTAAGAGTTGCAGATACGAGCTAAATTGTACGCAATTGCAACTGTTAAATGGATCCATTTAACAATTGCAATTGCCAACCCTACAATTAGAACGTAACTGCAAAATTTATAGTTTTTAGCCTGTTTCAAATCACTTTATAATTGGGACACAGACAAAATTTACTGATGACTTGACTATATTTTGGACGCGGCCTGTAGCATAAATTTTTAGAATCTTAGTCTAATAAGTAGTGTATATAGGCCGAGAACTTGGTTAGTAATGGTGGGTTTCTATTATTGTTCTTAGATATATCATAAAATAAGTACTCGTCAATTTATGATGTCTGAACTTTTTTTTATTTAACTGTAGTTAAGGTTGTGGAGTCCATTGAGCACGAAAAGACTTGTAGACCTGTATTGGTCTACAAGTAAGTAACCAAAATTAAACAGAAAGATTTCTTTTTTGCTGTTCTGTATAGGTTTAATTTTCGGATCAGTATATAGTAAAGACTATGCTTCATCTTTATATACAATGATAATTAATCATTGTATAAAATTTGGTACTGTACGAAGCCGTAAGCCAATAATAGTATTCATTAAACTGAACAACTACTCCAAAAACAAAGTGGAAAATTAAATGTAATTTCACAAACTTAATGAAAACTGTGCGGTCACGTTACTACTTTGGTACTTATAAAAACTTTATTATCAGATTACCAATTTTTTTTTGGTGAAGTGGTTGAGTTCTGTCTTTTTCTAAGGCTTCCGGTTTTTATATCCTTTATGACTAGCTCTCTGAGTTCATATAATAAAGAATAATTATTTCATATATGCTTTAAGCATAAAATATTATAGTTTGTGACGAGGATACACCAAGGCAAATTATATTTTATCAGATGTCTAAAATAGTTACTACATTAGTAGTGTTGATTATACTTCTGGACTAACAGATCTTTATGATAACTGTTATAATTATTTTAATGCTCAATCATGTTTTTATGTATTTAATTCTACTTCTATGATCTATAATAAAATTAATTATATTGACAGTAGATATTCCCGTTCAATTAATTTCCTAATCTCCCAAGCAGTATCGAGCCACGTAGTTTATTGCGAGACTACCTCGCTTTGTTTTTGCTACTAAATACGACAACGGTACTATGGATGGTGTTCATAAGAATTGCGTGACGTGATGCTTACACCCACTTCCCACCATTGCACCGCCCGCCATCGACAATTCGTTTCGTAAATTCGTATTCACCCTGGATGAATGGTCATGACGAGTGCCATTTCAGGAATTTCCCTAAGGAGACACTTCTGGAATGAACTTTCCTAGATTTTTTCTAAAGACACACACAGTAGCATTTTTCAAAAACGATATATTAAGCTACCTAAGGGTCTGCCACGTGCACATGACACCACTGCTTAAGGCGACCATACGCTAATTGTTTACAATGGGCCGTATGGTTGATTGCCACCATTGTGGTAACACGAATTATTAAAGTTTTTGGAAGATGGTAAATATTGGTATAATTTTATTTTGTAGATGATAATTTTATGTGAATAAGGATGATATTTGATGTACAACTACAAAGGAAAGTGGTACGTTGTCATTTTACTATGTGCGCTAAAAAATAGAAGAATATCTAGACAAAAAAGATAAAGTTGGTATGTCTTCGGACATAATAAATATTACTAAGATTTTCGACGAGTTAACGTTACTACAAAATAGATTGACGGATCTATGGTTGAATATGGAACAGCGAGATTGTTTTTGATAAGGGTCTAGAATCTTCTGAAGCTTACAACAGTCAATTCTATTTATTGAAGCACAAGGTCAGTGAATACTATAGTCATACCGTATCCCGCTCTTCGGCATCTGGCACTATAATAAAAGCGGATAGGACAGTGGAGGGACTTCACAAAGACAACGTCGCCACTTTCGCCTTCCCAAGCTCCAGTTGGCAGAATTTAACAAGGAGATAAAAAGGTGGATACTCTTCTTGACTCAGTTTAAGAAGATTGACGCTGATAGTGACATAGACGACGAAGATAAATTCCAATATCTCTTGCAAAGTCTTGAGAAAGGTGATACAGCAGCTCAAACAAAGGTATGCAAAAGACGAACTTATAATTGAATATTATGTTAGAGAGTTATTAAAATTAACTATTGTTCAAAAGAAAAGATAACTGTAAGATGTCCACTCTATATGATAAGTTAATGTCACAAATCCTAGCTTTAGAGTCTCTTGGTGTTACGCAAAACAAGTATGCCGCCTTTTTATTTCCAATGGTGGAGTCAGCGCTGCCAGAAGACATATTACGAGCATGGAATAGGTATCAAATGTCACTACTGATGATAAAGGTAAAAGTCAACTGGCACAATTGTTACATATTGTTCGTAATGAAGTAGAATCTGAAGAAAAAATTAATTTATCACGAGGAAGCTTTGCAAACGTGGATCCATATAAGGAATAAAGAAAAAAACCATTGCACATACCAATAATGAAATAAGAGAATGTGTATGGTGTGCAAAATCAACGCATAATAGTTTGGAATGCAAGACACCGATCAAATGGATTTAGAGGAGCGAAAAGACTTTCTAAAAAAGAAGAATTCCTGTCTGATATGTCTTAGAACTGGTCATCATGCGAAAAAATGTAGGAAATATCCTAAATGCGTCATCTGTGAGAAGAGAAATTACCCAATTATGTGCGTAGAATTACAAAAGTCAACTAAAAAGAGTGAAAATGAAAAGTCAATGTTCAAACAGTCGACAAAACAGAGTACTGTTCTATTGCAAACCGTCAAGTTACATTTATTTCACGAAGATTAATTTGTTACAGTAAGATCTCTACTAGATTCAGGTGCTCAACGCTCTTTTATTAGATCTGATGTAATTGACAAGCTAAAGATTGTACCTACAGGCAATTTATTCGGAGGGGTAGTGACTAAATTAGAGAACCACAAATTATTTACGCTAAACTGTAAAAGTCTTGATAACAAGTATAAATTACAAATAGAGGCACTCGAGCAAAAGACAATATGGTATAAGGTGAAACCAGGTTTAGTTTTGTCACAACTACAAGCAAAAGGTATAAATATTACTTATTGTTTTGATGAAGTGACTGAGATATCTTTACTAATTGGTTCTGAAGTTTTAGGTTCTTTGTACACTGGACGATCAGAACACGTGAGTGACAATTTAGTGGCAATCGAGACGAAATTTGGTTGGGTAATTCAGGGACTTCCGGTATGTATTCTATTTTTACTTCAGTACACGCTTGTTCTTTTGATATTGATGACTTGTGGAAACTAGAATCCATAGGTATTAAAGATGAGGCGCAAGTAAAAAGTATTAGGAAACGCGAGGAAGAAGTCGAGAATTTCTTCGAGAAACTGTAGTCAGAAATGATGAGGATAGGTACGAAATTAAACTGCACTGGAATGATACAGCTGATTTATTGTCTCCTTATTATAATTTAGCTTTGAAACGTCTTCATTCAACTACCAATAAACTCAATAAACTAGGATTATTGACAGCTTATGATGAGGTGTTTGGAGAATGGTTAGATTGTAATATAATTGAAGAAGTTGTAGATGATAATCCGCAAATTGGCCATTATTTACCTCATCAGGTCGTTGTTAAAGATTCTAGCCTTACCTCGAGAATTCGTTCGGTATTCGATGTGTCTGTGATTACTAAAGAAGGTTGTTTGTCTTAATGCTTGTCTCGAAAAAGGAAGTAATCTTATAGAATTAATACCCAAATGACTTATTCAACTTAGGAAGGGCGCTATAGGTATTACTGCCGATATAAAGAAGGCTTTCCTACAAATATCTATTCATCCAGATGACCGTAAATTTTTCAAATTTTTGTGGTAGAATAATCCCAGTAGCGTGGACATAAAACTAAAAGTTTTAGGCATCGTCGCGTAGTATTTGGTGTAACGACCAGCCCTTATCTCCTGTCAGCTAAAACACTATACCATCTTGAGAAATACGAATGTGAGACGGCCAGTCTATTGAAGAATAGTTTTTATGTTGATAACTGCATTGTTAATATGAATAATGAAGTCGAAATAGAGAAATTTATCAACGAAGTTTTAAATATTTTAAATGAACGTGAGTTTGTATTTCGTTACTGGGTGACAGATCATACTCTAGACAAAAGTCAAGCAGACATTTCTGTGTTAGGAGTTACTTGGAATTCACAAACAGAGGAGTTATATTGTAAAGTTCTATGTGAAAACAAATTGATAAAAAGCTTATTAAACGAATACTATTATTATGGCCCTTTATTAAATAATAAATAAATTTGCAATAGATTCCAACCTCAAGCGCCATGGTGGGGTGGATTGTGGGAGCGTATGGTTCGGTCTATAAAAGAAATATTGAGTAGAGTATTATGTAAAGCTGCTCTATTAGAAAAAAGAGTTGTTGACTATACTTTGCGAAACATAAGCAATCATTAAGTAACTGAAAATTTTAAGGTTCTCACTCCAGCAATATTTGCAATTTGAATTACTACGATCGAGCGCGTTAATTGGCTTTTAGAAACGAATAACCGTTAGAAAAAAGTTATTATATTATTATTTGTACATATTTTTATTTATGAGATTAAGGAAGGACTGAATATTTTTTGCACAATTTTTCATTTTCGTTATATAATTCTAAACGTTACGTTTAGAATTTTATTACTGAAGTGAATATTTTTAATACGCAAAATTAGTTCTTCTTAGTTGTAGAGGCTTCAACAACTACATAAAACTAAGTAAAAATTGTATTACCCAAATAAAGTATTTGAAATAGATGTTTAAAAACTTGGTAGTTTATTGGACCTCCATTTAGTGGGCTTACCCAAACCTAGTTGGCAAGACTGGTTCAAACAAAAGTCTGGTGCACAGCCTGCACAGAACATAATCTATGTAATCTGTGTACAGAAGTTCTAATTGGACTATTGGTGGTAGTTTTTGAATTTGTTATTATATTGTATATTTTTATTTTATGTGGAATATTTGTTAGGTCCAAGTAAATTAATTTTGATATATACATACGCATTAAAAGTGTTGGAATGTTTTCATTGATTCAGGAATTAATTAGTAGTGAAAAGTGCAAAAATTTGCAAGAATTTTTGGAAAGGATACGTAGTTCGCTTGAATCTAATATTAAAAAAGCAGACTCTATATCTTCAGTTTTGATAGATAAAGATTTTTTTGATGAAGTTAAAAATATTGTTTTGTATGGTCACATACCTTTGTTTTTTGGTAAATCTCTAAGAGACCTGAAATGTATTGTCGAGGATGATAACAATAGGCAACATGAAATATATATTCATTATAATGGCCCTAAAAAATTGTCCATAACTTTAATATACATACCATATTCTACATTTCAAGATCAAGAGTATAGTTCCATAGAGGATATCATTGTGGCTTTTAAAAAGCAGTTATCATATCTAAAAGACTATTTAAATGAATTAGAGCGAATAGATAGGTTATGTACTGTTATGGAGCCTGTGAATCCAACATTTAAAGACAACTACAGAAGAATTTTTCTTGGTAATTTTTTTAATGACCCAGTATTTTTCACTGTTTTACTTTCAGTAACACCTGGCCCTACACTAAACAGAGATGGTATTATAGGTACTAAAGGTGAAATAGGAGCTTGCACAAAAGGAATTTAAAATATTTTATAGAGACAAACTCGAAAATTTGTATCCTCAGCGACATAGTTTGTATTGTATTTTTCACACATGCTATACATACATATTATATAGACTTTCCTCATATCCTTTATATGATATGAGGAAAGTCTATATCATGAACTTGAAGAACTTCTTACTTCAATCATTAGCAAAATCTTGTATAAAAAATATTCAATGTTAACTTGAAATATTTTTTCTTAAACAGGGAGAGGCAGAAAAAATTGTATTGTGATTAATGGTATGGCTATATATTATCTTTTATTGGACCCTGTGATTCTCCAATAGAAGACAATATATGGCCATACCATTTTCACTTAGGAATTCATGTAGGGTATATATATTTTACTAATAGAAACAATTTATTCTTACAGATAATAGGTCCTGGTTGCATGTTGAAGTTACAGCAGAAGGGTTAGGAAATAACATTAGTATCTTGGGGAATAGTGATGAGTGGAGTGAGAAACTGCAGAGTAGACTCATGGTATGGGACCATGATAAAGATATTGTTGAAAACATAATGAATGTCTTTGGTAAGAACACTAGACGATTATTTTATTGTATATTAGTTGAGCCCAAAGTTTCATGTAAAATTTACAGCCTATATGTTATTCTGATGTATTATAAGCTATATTACTGTAATTTTATGTTGCAGGTATTATAGTGTGTTGTGTCTGTGTCATTTGTAATTGTAATTTATTTACAAAAAGTTATCAAGTATTTATAAGTTGTTTTTACCTTATTTATTCACTTTTAATAGAGATTCATTTTTGTTATTTTATTTCTTTCTGACTTGCCCACTGTCTGAAAATAACAAATTAAAATATGTACTGTAAATAATTTTTATTTAAATTACAAAAACTTGTTTTTTTTATTATTTCAGATCTGATTAATTTTGCTTCACCACAAAATATAACATGTCTTCCAGAAGTTGTAACTGACCAAGTACCAGTTTGTAATATTTGCCTCAGTGTCGAATTGCCTGACAACTCAGGAGTACCACAACCCCTCTGTTCCAATTCTATTTGTGGTGTTTACTTCCATAGAAATTGTTTATTCCAGGTATTTTAATAACTATTGTAATTTTTAAAATGTTATTTTGTTAATTGACTCAATATCAACTGAATGTTACATTTTTTGTTTAAATTGGTATCCATTGCACCTCTGCAACAATTGGTCATCACAAGTCTAATATTGTGTTATTGGTACCATTGAGAATGCACAAAACAAGATGTTTTTGTTGCTCTCCAGTATGTATTTAATAAGCGAGCAAAAACCCAAAAATATTTGAGATACCTACAAAAATGTTTGAGTTCTCGACATCTAGTACATTCGCTCGTATTATTTTTTAGTAGTTATTATTTACACAATGATGTATAATGAAAGTATGTGATTATTTCAGTGGTTGGTAGCAAGTAGTGGTGGCCGCCATCCAACCTTTGGAGTTGCAAGTGGGAACTGCCCAACCTGTCTGAAACCCATTTCATGCAGTGAAAAAGATGGGTGATTATCACCAATAATTTTTATTGTTTTTAAAAAATTCGTAAAAATAATTTGAGCAATCATCAAAATATTTTAGTCATAAATTGTTGCTATATATATCTTACCCATTTCTATTTTTGGCAAATTTACCAGTAATATGAAATGCAAATCATATATGAACTGTGATTTAGAAATAAGAGAATAAATAAATAGTTATTGAACACTTTTTTTTTATTATATGTTTATGCTAATTGATAGAAAGTGAAATATAAAATTCACTTTACCTTTTGTTTTGTTAAGTTTATCAAAAATTTATTTACGATGATTGTTGAATACCTACTAACATTTATAAGTATGAATATATGTACTGGTCTGGAATAAATGTATTCCTATTTATTGGTATTTTTTTTATACTATAATGTAAATGGTAGCTGAAACACTTATGTTGTCGACTCTTAAGAAATCTTAATGTAAAAATATTAGTAAACAATTTTTATCGTTACTAATTATTTAAAAGCGTGCTCTTGTAACGAACTAAAAACTATATCATAAAACAAGTTGCACAAGATACATTCTTCCAACTAATGTTTTAGAAATATAGACCTTTAGAGCTATCAGTTATTTGAGAAAAATGTGGTTGCTGATTGTATTAAGTTTTTTGTTTATTTACGCTAAAATTGCTAATTTTAGACAATTTTAATGTAACTGAATATATAATACGCAATTGGGAACTTCAGAGCTAGTATGAGAACACATAATAAAGTCTTGATGTATGCCTTTACTTTTTAATTAAAAATTACGTAGACATATTTTATGGTTACATAGAATAATTCAGTATAAACAATGTTAAGAAGTAATGCACCAGCCTTTCTTATTTGTGATTGTTGATTAACATTTTTTTAGGACTGTTATGATATTATTGATTGCTACACCCACTCGGGTATTTCTCGCATACCAGAAAAATGAAAAATAAAACGTGTTAATCATAGACAGGTGTTTTTTAATTTTCACATGACAATTTATTATTATTTTTACATAATATTACTCGAAATTTAAATTTATTAAAAAAAAATAGTGGCTATTTGATTGGATTGTGAATTTAATTTTGTACAAGCTGTGGCAGTGTAATTTAAATTGTCATGTAAAAGTCATATGGTGTTGACTATCTTATACAATAAATTCATCACAAAGGTACTGTGTCGAAGGTACGGGGAGTGAGACTGGTGCTAGAGCCAGGTGCTTCGCCAATTTGAGGCCCAGTGTCGCGACCAATGTTCTGAAATTCAATTGAGATAATAAGTGCATAATAGCCATAACAATAACTTATGTGCTACAAAGATATTAGTTACTGAGTTAACAGACAGAATATATTGATGCTTCTAAGTAAAGATAAATATACATGCAGCAGATATAGACATAGGTACAGGTGTTGTCAAATAGTGCTTGAATTATAATAATTTTGAGCATTTCAAAACCACAGTCATTAATATAGTACAAATTTTCTTTTGCATATCATATTCGCATATTATAAATAATTATATTTGGAGATATAGGAAGAAGAGAAAAGTATCATTACTGTTATGACTATTTTTGTCTGAGTTGTTAGTGTAAAATTTGAAAGTCATTTAGCTGCTTCATCTTGTAAATATGGATCTAAACTAAAAGCAGTTAGATACTGAAATATGCTCTATTTATTAATTATTAAAATTAGTTCAGTTTCTAGATTATTGTATGATTTTATAAACTAAAAAAGTCACCTTACCTTAACATGAATTTGATTTTTGAGCATAGCAGCACGTAGGATAAGCATAGATGTCCGTCGCTGATACTCTTTTCCCATGGAGAGACTTCTTTCAAAAGTAGTGCTCCTTTGATCTACATCTTTAGCATACAGAATTTTATTATGAGAATCTATACGAGCTTGTATTTGTCCATCGAGTATTAATTGCATCAGTTCATCCTCTAAAGCATTGACAGTGCGGTTGAAAGCAGCAGCCATTAGGCGCATATCTGCTGATAGGTATGGACTGAAGTACTGAATCAATGCTCTGTTACGTATTTGCATGTAAAGAGAATTTAAGTGTGGAGCTAAATACATGTCTAATAGAAGATTGTCTCTTATTTCATCCAGTAGCCTTAGGCAGGATGCATATTTAGATTCATAAAATTTAAAAATTATGTCACGTAACTGCGGTTCTAGTTCTAAGAATAATTTAAAAGAACTGCTAACTATGACTTGCTTTTGCAACTCGGATCGATCAAAAGTTGCGAGAGCACACAGTCCTCCATAGACAGCAACATTATTGCTGCTCAATAGCTCTGAATAATCACAATGGTCAATACTGGCTGCTAGAAAGTGCTTAGCAGCAGATTTATACTTTTTTGTAGCTAGTTCAGCAAGGCCGGCAGCACATTTTAAACGAGTTAGAATAGACTGGTTAGTATCTTTTCCTGGCACTTCATTAAAGTCTGGTGTGCCTTCTGCCTTGGAGACATAGTTAAGGACATGAGCCCAATTTTGCAAGTACACTGAGACCTTAACTACATTGAGGCACATCATTATAATGTGTTTCCCACTAGTACAATAATCCCTTGCCCTTGAATAGCACTTTAAAGCACTAGTAAGATCACCACAATCCAGATAATGATCTCCTAAGTCATCATGTCCTCTCCGAATGCTCTCTTTTATTGAATTTGTTTTGTAATTTTTGAGGTCAGTGTCCAACTTTTCCAGCTTAATAGCTGCTTTTTTAGTTTTAGATTCAACCCACATTGTGTCAATTACAGGGATATCCTGTGATCCCATTTGGACAGCAACATCAGGTAGACCTGCAGATGCCACAGCTTCAGCAAGCTTTTTATGTAGAGTTTGGTACAAGCTTACATTGTATGTAGTCATAACATGTGATATGGCCATTTTAAGAGCTTCCAATCTTAGAGGAGGGCAATGATCTGCTACAAACATTAATCTGTACAACTTGGCAAAGCCAGTATAAGAGGCTGCATATGTCTCTAGATCTAAAGTAGGATTCTCAACGACATAGCATTCGGTTTCATTGTTTTCATTATCTTCTAAAGGAACGTCCACTTGCATGGGCTCCGCTGTGTTCTGAAAAACAATGACAGAACAATTATTAGTAGGCAATCTTTGAATGTGAACAGTAATTTAGTGAATATGTATTACAATTAAATAAATATTAAATTGCAAGTGCACTGAACTCACCATTTCGAACATTTTATGTAGATTATTTGATTTTTAAAAGAAAATACGCGAATTCTATTGTCAACGCAAGAAACCAACCTAAAACAAAGCAATACTTATTACTTAATATATTCAATTTATTTAACTTTTGGGACTTTATAAGATATTTAACTTTATGTTGAAACTCACACATTTGACGAAAATTATATGATGATCTTAACACCATTAATTATTATCAAAATACCTTTATCATTACGTTTCTTTTTGGCAGCGGCATTTTTCTTTTGACGAGTAGCTTTTTTCTGAATTTCGACTGGGTATAGCAACTGGAAACATTCATACAGCTATATTCATCATCATAAAAGTTACATAAACAAAATTATTTACTAATTCAACTATATTACCTAGTAATTTACTGTACAAAAAAGGTACTTGATGCTAGAAACTCCGATGAGTAATTATACTTTGGGACGGCTAATAGTAATCTCAAGGAAATAAAATCTTATCCAGTAATAGAAGGATGCAATATTTTTAAAGTAATTTATATGTCAATATAAATTCTATTAGTGCTATAATAAAATGATTCCTTGCATACTTATTTTGTATTTTTTGCTTGATATTTTATTTAATGGATATGTAATTAAATTATCTGGAAATTGTGCGAGAGGGATAGAATTACTTGTTGCCAGGTCTCGTAAGGGACGTACCTTTTTTATGTCGAAGAATGAAAAAAAAACTGTAGTCCACAGGAATAAGAGTGACATTCCTTTTATACTGTGCACCAAGTGCACGTTCCAGTTTATAAATCTCTTGCGTCTTTTATTTCCCATAATAACATTAAACTTTAAAACCCCTGATCACTAATTCCGAGTATATTCAAAATTTAACCCGTTCCTTTCCATTATCCCGTCTCGTTTTCTGTTTTTAGTGGTATAATAGGCAACACTAGTCTCTTGCCAAGGAAAAAAAAATAAAAAACTGGTATTATAAAAAAAAAGGCACATTTCCTAAAAGTTTCAGAAATCGCCAAGCGAATACATTTATATGAAGCAATTAATTACATTAATAAAACAGTAAATAGCATATTGAAGAATATTGATATTTTTTTCTTATGATTGATAATGGAATTCCCGCTTATGCTAACGGTTTGTACTGGCGGGGCACCATTGGAGGATAATAGGATGAACATGAGTCCAGTCAGTTAGCTCATCGTGGTTTATTATAGTAATAATAATAATATTATAATTTATATTCATCATGAATTTATTACGATGGTGTTCAGAGGGATGAAATGGGGATACGGGACAAAAATTATTATTTCTCCCATTTGGGATATTTTATCTCAGCTGTTTATTGTAGGATTTGTTGATTGTGCTATAGAATGCTGTCTGTGATAATATATATTTAAGAGTTGGATGGATTGTATCTTAAAATCACATCGTAGAGCTTATTTTTGTTCTTAGGGCTAATAAGACACACAGTAAAAGTACGTGGGCCTTACTTATGTAATTTTTATTCACACAATATTATAAAGTTACACCTATTTAACTTTTTGATACTGCTATGCATGTAAAGAAAAGTGTCTATCGATAATATATAAAAATTGCTTAGGACTGACAGACGAAGATAATGAAGAATCTGGATGAAGATGTTTAGAATTGATATTTTTAGATTAGCGATTGCTAGAGAGTGACAATACTTGTTGCTTTCCGGTTGATTATTTTTGACTTTTATTGCTTTCTTTAGGCATAGGTTGTACATATACTTCAGCTGCTCAGATGATGCAAGACGAAAGTCGCTAAGGATAAATGGCGTGATACCGTCAGGCCCGGTCGACCGCTTCAGTTTCAATTTTGCTAGGGCTCGTATAACATCAGGTAACTGGAGTCTGTCTATGTGTGATCATGCCAAACCATTTGTGCGGGGGAAGGGGATTGTTAGTGGACTCATGACCCCATTACTAGCAATGTACCATGTCAGGTTGACCTCCACGCGGTTCCCCTGGAAACCATCGTGATAAATTTTTGGTAAATATGTCACGATGGGTTAACTGACCTGACCTCATGTTCATCTTAACATCCTCCACTGGTACTCCGCCAGCGTAAACCGTTAGCGCAGGCGGGTGAAACATACCATTATCACCCATAAAAAAAATCAATTTGTGTTACCTCCTACAGTTACTGTTCTCAAGTTGAGTTTAATCAATGCCGTGATGTACCTATACCAATTAATTAAATTAAAAATTCCTTTCAGTACAGTTATAAATTGTTATTTTCTATTACTATTAGTGTTAGTATTGAGTTTTGACTTTTTGAATGATGATTTTTTTTCCGAAGTGTTTGTATTTATATAGGACAGTAGGTATATAGAAACAGCTCCGTAATGATTTCGCTTTATACCTCTATCGCTTGTGAAGACCAGCCTTTTATTTTACTATTGTGGTTAATTTCTAATGAATTTTTCATGATGTCTTAACTGACTTGAATTCATACCTTCTCTATTATTATTTTTTTACGTGGGGAAAATCCCTTATGGAGACCCGGCCGTCTCAGTGGTTGGATGAATGGGTACTGTGAGACTCCTACGCACCAAAAACCCCACGATATTCCTCCTCGCCGCCATAGTGTCAGGGTCGCGGGATCGAGCTGGCAATCAACCGCGGTTGCACGCAAGCGGGCCCTCCTCAACGCGTGGGGGGAACTCTTCCCAGTTCCCCCATCTCCGCCCACCGTGGGGACGACGCACCGGAATACGGGATACGCCTCCCCCCCCATCTCGGCTCCTGTAGTGTGGACGGCAGACTTGAACCCCTGACACTGCCGCCCACACAGAGCCGCGCCCGCTCCACAGTCTCTACAGGAGTAGAGTCATAGCAGGAGCGGGCTACCAACGCGACGCTTAATGGCCGGGACTGGCCCCACCTGGGCTCATTGTCCCAGCCTGCGCCGCCCCCCTTCGTCGGACTATCGGCCGACATAGTAGCAATATCCCGAAGGAACTACTACTATCTCGCACAGGGCGTATCAGAACCAAACCATTGCTCGGCCATCGTTCCCCGCGGACGTATCTTCGAGGATGGGGAAGCCTCCCAATGACTGGAACATACCAGGAGGTTGCCCGACTCACGCCCCATACATAGTCAACATCTAGAACAGTATAAAAAAGTATATTTAAGTACTCATAAAGGCGGTGTGCATACTGCGGCTACATAAATATTTATATATAACAGATAATAGATTAAAAAAAACATTATTTTTCTCTTAAACAATTTAATATAAAACTTCTGTACTACTTAAGAACATGTATTTAGGCAAAAAACAGACGTCTTCTAGATTATACAAAATGTTTCGTATATTGTTATGCAAACGCTACTAATAGATAATTGCACGTGTTCTTTTTACGTTTACCTGCCTAATATTATAAATACGAAAGCGTGTATGTTTAGTATTCATTCTCGCCTGAATCACTGAACGAATTTAGTTGAGATGTACTGTAGAGATGGATTACACGCGACATTGGAGAAGCGCGATACAAGATCTAATTCTAAGGCTACTATTCTACTGTCTCTTAGAATAAAATGTGACGTTTCTTAAGGAATTGCTCGTATAAGTTAAGGATATGTAGACTGATTTCTCGATAACAGTTGTATTATCCAGTTGTAGTCGCAAAATATAAAAATGAGAAAAGACTGATTACACATTTGTATCTCTTGAATTTTTCCGTTACTTCAGACATTCAGGTATTCAGAGCATTATCAAATTTAACAAATCAAGGATCCTAAAATTTGTGTAATTAACCGAACTTGTCTTTATTTATATTTTTCTTATACTAATGGAAATAGCAAACAATCAGACGGTCCACCTGGTAAGAAACAATACCACGGACATCACGACATCATGTGACATGCTACATGTAACATGCATTATCTCACGCTACAACTGAAATACATTTCATTAAGCAAGCTGCTTGACGTGTTTAGAAAAAGATTACAACTTAATTGTTAAATTTCATAAGTTTGGCTCTAAAACTTATGAAATTTAACGATAAGTTGTATTCTTTTTCAATATTAGGCTAACCAGGGCAAATTAACTGAAATATCAGTATCGTATCAAAGTTTGGCAGAGTGGTAATAATAGCAAATGATTATTAAGTGTTAAACCTAAGATTTTTATTTTTATCTGTATATTTTTGTATGAGTGCATCGTACTACGTGATATGATTCATTATTGCAATGTAGCAAATTTTATTTGGTATGTATTGGTATGTGGTTTAGGTAGTTAAATAGCAGTATCACAGAGCGGTTGCTTGTTACGGACGACGCGACGCATGCGTCCAACAGACATCGATTTAGAACCTCTTGTCAAAAATATAACCACATGTAATAAAATGTTCAGTTTACCAATAATTCTTCTAATAAGTTACAAAATATTAATGAAGTTACTGCGATCACAGACTAAAGATTTTAACAAAGGTAAGCCAATAATTTTACGGTAATGAAAATAAAATTATTTTAATAACATACCTATTGATTTCCGCTTTGATTATGATAAGAAAAGATAATGAAATCTATTTGGTATAGTTGTATGATTCTATTGTTTATATCAGTGATAGTAAATTACAATGGACTAAGCCAAAGTTCGAACCTTTAGCAGTGTCGTCATACTAGAAACGTGCTCGTCAGGCAGGAAAAAGCCTTCAGTTATTTGCATAATAAGATTGCATAGTTTTCTTTTAATGGATGATAAACTGATGATGCACTCGTCTGTCGTTAACAGCTTACGCTGAAGGGGTACTAATGGAGGATGATAGAACGATCATGAGGGCAGATCAGTGAGCCTATCGTAAGAAAATCACTAGGAGTTTATTATTATGATTTTCAGGGAGAATCTAAGGAGGTTAACCTGCAATATACGAATTTGAATGTTATGTAATAATATAATTAACAAAATAATATCAACAATGTAAGTAGGTACTAAGTGTACGATAGAATTTTATATAACTAGCCGCCGCCGCCAATTCTTCCGCAAAAAATAAAAAAAATTTAATGATGTAACCCAAAATATATAATAAAAAAAAGTTTCATCCTGCTACTTTCAATAACGACGAATTTTAAGGGTAAAATTTTTACAAACTTTGAAATATATATTTAATAAACGGCAATAAAAATAACTTTCAAGCTTCTAGCATAAAAAGGAACGATACTTGCATACAATATTTAATCTCCCCTTGCAACGCCTTACAACCCATTTTCTTTATTTATATTTAATCAACAGCTTAAAAAGTTTCAAGCTTATAGTTTTAAAAATGACGATACCGTATGTATAATATTGTACAACCTTTCATCTCCTTTTCCATAGGGTTACATTAAAAAGTAGTCTATGTAGTGTAGAGCCTAAAGTACCAAATTTTATTTACTTCGATTTAGAAGTTTTTGTTTAAATGCGAGACAGACAGACATAATTATTTTCGCATTTATTATATTAGTAAGGAAGGATAAGATAGGATATAGGATAAGGTTAGGAAGGATATTAATAAATCAATATCTGTAAATAAATTGTATAATAAGGATAAGGATAAAAAAATGTGTTTGAAATTTATATTAAATAATTAGTATTTATGTTTATATTTTAAGTTTTACTGTAGGTATATTATTGTTGTCTGGATGAAAAATTGTTCGTCAATCGTTTTAGTAGTTATAAGAGCCATATCCATTCGTAATAAAGTCGGATTATTCATTTAATTAAAATTATTACACCTATATATGATTTGTTGTCGAATTAGTTTTTAACTTCTTTTTTTTATTTAGAAACTACTGTTTTACAGTAATAAAAAGAAGCCTACCCTACAAGGCATATTTAAAGTAGTTACCTACTCAGTCAAGTGGATGTGTGTGGACACACCACAGTATGTGTGTATAAAAATTTATCTAATATTATAAATAATATTGAGGCTCAATATTCTTTCGTATGTCGTCATATTCACATTCAATAAAATTAGACGGATAAGGTGTCGACTCGGAAGAATCTGAATACCTATATACGTATACAAATGTATCTAGATTTATGATATTATTAATTTAAATAACATTAATAACTAGTCCCAAGTCATACAGAGTTTGTTTATGTATTCTAGAGAACTGATAAAATACTTATTCAAGTATTAATTCAAATGTATTTACATGTTTGTAAATAAATACTTAAATATTTTATATATATATATATATATATCAGTGAATGATTCAGTCAGTATGTAATTATTGATAATTTGTCTAAATATATAATATTTAGACAATATATGGTTAGTGTACTTACAATGATATTCAATGCACAACATGATTCTTTGTTACACAAGGAAGGAGCTGACTAGAATGGAATCGCCAAAGAAACATTTTTCGTTTATGTCTATAACAATATTTCGGTGTGCTAAACCAGCAGACTACCGACGAGTCCAATTATTTACTCAACCTATTTTTTATGTTTCTGACACACAATATCAGACTCTTAAGTTTCTCTATACACATATGACTTCGTAGGGCGAGAACGCTAATACTTAAAAGAGATAACTCTAATGCATTTTTAGGGGAATATTGATTTCATAACATATCAAAACACTTGTCCGTATATCAAAAATCTCACCGCCATTGATTACATGCATCATCTGATATTTGTAGTCAATAATATTCGAATACAGTAACTCCTTAAAACATATGCTCATTAAACGACAAATATACTACGTATACGTGTACTATATATACATATGTCAATCGCGTTGCATTTTTTGTAAAACGACAAATATAGACTAGTAGCGCTGAAGACATGTATAACTTTATTTTACATCAACGAGAATTGAAGAAGTGTAAATGTTATAAAAAATCTCACAGTAGATAATTTATTTTTGGGTTGCCAAAGTGTCATGATAAAGTTATACAATACATCTGTAAAACTTAAAATAGTCCGTGACATATCTATTTGTTGTTTTACGAACGATGCAGTTAACACAACATACATGTGGTCAGTATTAGATCGTTTGTCGGTGTGGAACAGCATCTCTCAATACTCTCTATGTCGACTTCATAAATCATTATTAGCTAAAATATTGTTAGATAATTTGTATGGCAACTTTTATAATAAACGTGTTTACGTAATAGTTGTATAGTAGTGCTGAGAACTAATAGCGATAGTAGTAAATTCTTTTATAATACAATTTTAGGTGGATAGGTGGTTTATTGAATAGTTGGCTTGCATTAGTGACGATGAAGCTAGCACTCTTGTTCATAGTGGTGTATTTTTTCCACTGCAAAGGTGCCGTGGTCACGAAGAACGAGGAACAATTAGTTATCAACAATAGACCTATTATTGGAGTTTTATCCCAGGAACAATCTTACCATCTTCAAGAAAAATACAGTGAAGATAATTACACCAGTTATATCGCAGCCTCGTATGTGAAGGCTATCGAATCAGCTGGAGGAAGAGTTGTACCTATTTTGTAAGTATACTTATGCAATAAAAGTCCTCTATACTTGTCTACATATATCTAGTTCCTTGCAAAAGAAAAACTGAACCCTCAAGTCTTATGATTAGGTAGCATTAATGTGGAATATATTTTTTTTATGTATTTTGAATAGTAATCAAGCCAACGGCCTATTTGATGGTTACATATTTACCTACCTTTCAAAATAAGCACAACCTATAAAGCATGCTACTGCTACTAGCATAAAAGTCTTCTCTGTGTCACCGAGAGACATAGTAAGAATATCATGTTTTTAAAGTAACGAATGATAACGCCAAATTGGTAACGGCAAACAGATACTAACTATAACTATACTATAGTTTTATGGTAAAAATAATGATTCGATATTGTAATTGCTTTTTTGTTGTAGGATAGGAAAAAATCGTGGGTACTATAGGGAATTAATGAGCAAGATAAATGGGTAAGTGTTTATTTCTTAATTAATAATATATTTTGATGTTCACTGTAGAATATTTATGGAGTTGCGAATCATGAGAACCAACTTGTTATACTTGTACGCAAGATATTTTAGATATTTCGAGTTATATATATATATTTCATATAAAAATAAGAAAGCTTTAATTATTGTACCACATTGTCATAAATGCGGAATAGAAATGAAAACTTATCCCATCAGAAACAAAACATTTGACTGATATTGAAAGTGCGTCACTACCGTGATAGATGAATCTAGATATGTCATAGTGATAAGTCCCTTTATAATATCTGATATATGATAAGATAAAGATGATGCAAACAAAATATTAAAATATTGCAGTATCAGTATACCTATCATTATAATATAAGAGTAATATAATACAAGTAAACATATTCGTAGGTATTTTAAAGATACAGTAAAATTTATACGAAATAAAATTTCCAAAGTTATATGTATTAATAATGTATTTCATTTATTATCAAAAAGAAATATGAATTTGAAAACGAAATTTAGGACAAAAAAATATATCTATATTATTATAAATTACAATTGATGACATTTATTGTAATTCTTTGTTTTGCGCTATGCATTATAACAAAAAGTGTATTTTGTATGACGGTGTGGTTATATAATTATTAAGGTACCTAATACTTGTCAGGTTTTTTAAATAGTTTATGTAACGTTTTTAAAGCAGCAGATAATTTGCAGGTGGAATAAAAATTGTATAATAAATACATAGTACGCTTCTTAATAAGACGAATATGTAAATGATCATAATGTTAATGAAACAAAATCTACAGGTTTCTGACCGGATAAATGGTTAATCTAATTATATTTGATTAAAGTGTGCTATTCCCTGGTGGAGCGACATACTTCAATCAGTCCAACGGTTATGCGGATGCTGGACAACATATCTATGAGATAGCACAAGAGTTTAATGATGCTGATGATTATTTCCCTATATTTGGGACTTGCCTTGGTTTCGAGTTACTCATTATACTCGCATCAGGTCGCGGGGAAAAAGAAAACAGAATTACATGCAATTCTACTTTGAGTCGTTCACTTAACTTTATTGATGGTAAGAAAATATTTAATATTGTATAAATAAAGTCATATATCAGCAGTCAACATTAATTTTTCAGTGCATACTGACTCTACTGCCGTATTCAAACACTAACTGTGTCACAAAAACAACAGATGGTACACTACATTTTGTTCTAAACATAATATGTAAGCTAATCCAAGTAGTCTGTATAACTCAGTTTTATAATAGAGAATCATATTGTTTTTAAAGTTTATAATAATAATAATATAGCCATTTTACTCCAAAGTTGGGGTACATTTTGTTGTTTACAAAATGTACAAAGGCACACCGAGTTGCGGAACATTTTGTTGTTAACAAAATGTCCGCAACTCGGTGTGCCTTTTGACATAGGCCTCCTCCAGCTCTCTGCATAGAACTGTGTCTTTCGCAGCCCTGTTCCGGAACGGCCCCAGAATCAGGTTTATGACCTCTTTCATGCATTTTATTTGGCAACTCTGTTTTCTGGTCCCGTTTCTAGGATATGAGAGGGTCACTTGCTTGCTCCATTTATTTATTTAGCATCTTACCCAGTCTAATACCATCTTAAATGGTCTATTATGAAGAGTACATCTGTTACTTTTGTTATCTGTCTGATATTCCATTTTTTTGACATTTTGCCAGTCTGTCCCTATGATTCTCAGAGACCATGTTTCACATCCATAATTTATACAAGGCAGGATACTGGAGTTGTAAGTTTCACTCTATATGTGCTTGCACTTCACAATTTCTTTCAGGGACCAGTATTTCTTCTAACCAATTGCCATTCTTCTGTTTATTTCCATGTACAATTAACTTTAAGCCAGATAGCCCGTGGTGAAGTTGGATTGCTACTTGTAAAATGCCTACGCATTATCTGGGTACACTATGGAACTTGGGAATTTCAGATTTTCCTACTACAAAAGCGAACGCAATTATGTGGCCTACTTATTATCACAATAAAAGTAATTTATTTGTTTTGTTTCAGATTTACGTGATACTAAAATGTACAAAAATACACCACAGGATATCGTTAATTTATTAGCCACTAAGGACATAACAGTTAACTACCATCAATATTGCATAGTTGACGCGGTTAGTTTTCTACATATAACCTCATGTATAAATAATTATAACGGTACAAGTAATGTTAATAGGAAACGCGAAAGACTTTTTTGTAACATGTCTAGGTTGGTCACTGTATTAAGTACCTGTATATATTCATAATGCATCCATTGTTGTGAAAAAGAAACGGCTAATACCCAACTTAAAAGTATTAACGTAACACTACTATAAGGTTCTGTTTATTATGTTTAATTTTCGCATTGGCCATTAGTTTCCTCGCAACCTGGAGCGAAACAGCCCCACAGATAGAACACACTGATTTTTCAAGTGAGTCCATGGAAAGGAAAAGTTGATGACTTTTTAATCATTATTTAAAAAGAAAACTCTATAAATTATCTCTATAAATAGAACTGCAAATAAATGTTCAGTGCAAGTAAAATAGCATCTACTGATCCATATTAGTGACCAAAAATTAATATTTGAATTCAATATACATAAATAGCTAAAAATATAAAAGGATATGAAATGACATTACTATCAAAATATATTTTCTTTATCAGATCATAAAACTAAGTAATGGTTCGTAACTATCATTTTATGTGGTACAAATTAATTAACATATACTATTGGACATCATGTAAAGCGTTTTTATATCCTCTTAGACTAAATTTTTGTAACCTGGCATAACATACTATGAGTATTTATTTATAGTATGTATTGTACACCTTTCTTAAGAAAAGCAGAGATTATTTACCTTAGTTCATAGTTTAGTCTTCCGTATCAAAACTACTACCTATTTCGTTTTTTCTATTTAATAAGGCTATAGTTTGTAAAAATCTGTATCTATGAAATTAAATATGTTATGTATGTTTCTATGCATGAAATAATATATTATTTTTGTTGTAGAATTTACATGCCTACGATTTGAACAAAAATTGGCTAGTAACATCTTATTCGAATGATAATAACGGACTAAAATTTATCGCTACAATTGAAAATAAAAGGTGAGATATTTTAAGTAATATACTCGTTTTATCTATTTGTAATTAGGTTTCAAATTCATACTCGTATCTAAATAAAACTAATTCGAATGTAGTAGTATTAGTAGTGTGTAATGGAACCCTTTTCGACTACAAGAAATGAAGGACGTTCTCAAATAAACTGTATTTTTTAAGTGACTTCCGAAGTCATTCCTACAGTAACCGATTTTGATGATTCTTCATTTATTTAAAAGCCGGTAATTCTCATGTGGTCCACCATCTGACTAATACGAGTTAACGTTAACACTACGATTGAAATAGTTGTTTTCTTACCCTGTATACTGTGTAGAAGGAAAGATGGTGACGCAAGAATGGATGTATTTCTAATAAATGTTTTTAGGTTTAGTGTTTATATAGTATTGAGAACATGTGTAAATATTTTTTAGATATCCATTTTACGGCGTGCAGTTTCACCCCGAGAAGGTTTCTTTCGAATGGAAGGAGTCAAAGAACTATCCACATTCATCAGAAGCAGTGCGAGCAAACCGACATTTCATGGATTTCTTCTTGAATGAATGTAGAAAGAGTTCTCATGCATTTAAGAGTGTGGATGAAGAGAGAGATCACCTGATTTATAACTATGAACCCTTTTTTACCGGAAAGGTTGGCAGTCAATATGAGCAATGTTACTTCTTCGAACCTAGACATCGTCAACATTTGACAGTTTAGTACCTGTTAATCATAAAATAATTATAAAATATTATATAATATAATTTTTATAAGAATGTTATTTATATTAAATTTAGTAAATTATACTACTGTTGTAACATATTTGATATTATACAATTTATTTCCAGATGTTTATTTATTTAATCTTACTTCCTCACAAATATTATAAATGCAAAAAGTAACTCTGTCTGTCTCACTTCACGCCAAAATTACTAAACCGATATAAATGAATATAACGATAGTCTAGACCCTGAGAAAGGACATATGCTAAATCAAAGGGCTGGAAGGGGAAACCAAAGTTTGTACAAAAATATCGTAATTTTTAAAGCTAGAGTCGCAGTTTATTTTTTAGGCTGTTGATTAAATATAAATAAAGAAAAAAGGTTGTAAGTTGAAAGGGGAGACGAAAGATTATGGAAGTATGGAAGTATAATTCTTTGTATTTTTTGGGTTAAATAATAGTTAATAAACTACTTTTTCTTCATTTGGTCAAACTCACTATTCCTGTGCATACTATTCCTGTCCTGGCACTGTGCCTTTATATATTTATTATAAACAAAAAATAGTGTACTATTTAGGATGAGATAGAAAATGAAAATAAATACAGTAAGACTCAGGTTAACACTGTTTCGTTAAGCGCTGTTTCGGTTTAGGGCTCCGTTATTTCATTCCGGGGAAACTCCGAAATTGTACGCAGCGCTAGGTTTCGCAATATTTAAATAACAGAAAGACGTGGAGGAAATAGTTCAAGAAACGAAAGAAAGAGTTACAAATGTTTATACTTGGACTCTTTGATAATATTGTAAGGCATCGCTGTTTCGTTTAGCGCTGTAACTTATTGGAACGTATCTCCTGCGTTAAGCGGGGTCTTACAGTGTTGATTAAATACATAGCAAACTCACATATAGTTTGCATAATTCACTTTGGATCAGCCTCGCCTTTTCCCGTTACTCGGGGTCGGCTTTTCTAATACTGGGGCGCCATACATTTCGCTGGTAAGCATCATCTTTTGACAGGCCCAACTCCTTCATGTCCCTATGGACATTAGTCAACCAGGTAGTTGGTGGCCTGCCTCGCCCTCTTTTTTTGTAGCCATGGAAAGGCACTTTATTACAATTTGGTTTTCAGGTTTACGCAGAATATGTCCATACCATCTAAGTCTACATTCTCTAAGCTTTTCGGTAATAGGTACCACACCGAAACGGCTCCTTACATGCTCGTTTCGGACTTTATCTCTAAGCGTAATTCCACCTGCCCAACGAAGCATACGCATTTCAGTAGTATGTAGTTTTTGCTCATGTACTTGCTTAGTAGCCCAGGTTTCTCTACCGTATAGTAGACCTGTTCTAACTGTTTTTTTTATAGACCTTGCCTTTTGTTTTTATTGGCATTTTTGGGTCACACACCCCCGTGAGTTCGCTCCATTTACTCCACCCAGACGTTGTTCTATGAGTAATGTCAGTTGTAATCGTGCCATCTTCTGAAATAACAGAAGTCAGGTATTTGAACTTGCTTACTCTTGGTAGGATTTTTCCGTCTAGCTTCAGTTCAGTGTTTGTTGTACTAGATTTGTCGGGGCCGAAGTTGAACGCCATATATTCCGTATTAGTTCTACTAATGCGCAATCCACCAGACTCGAAAGCTTTTCTCCACAGATCTAAACTGTCCTGTGTTTCTTGTTTACTTTCCGATATCAAAACCACATCATCTGCAGAAAAGAGGTTATACGGTACTGGATTCAGAATGTTCTCTGTGAGGTAGTTCATTACTATATTAAATAGTAAAGGGCTCAGAGCGCTGCCTTGATGGACCCCCACTTCAACATTAAAGCTCTTAGATACACCTGCCGGACTTCTGACACTGGTTTGTACATTTACATTAGAAAACTAAATCTCATCCAAATTTTTTCAGTTTTGACAATAAAATTTGAAAACGATGTGCAATGCCTCCATAGACTAAAAAATCCTATGTGATGTTGTCCTATAAATCGTGTTGTGTCTAATAGACAATTACTTCTTAGTAGGCTAAGTGTTTTCTTCATCTGTCTAGAGATTACAGTGAAAATAGTATCAAATTTCGTTGCGAGGTATAAAAGAAGAAACTGGAGAAATTGACAGACAAACAGCAACTTTTCTTTATGCTATTTATAAACAAGGAAATATAAAATTTAACAATATTATAAAATATTTATATTTATTTTAATTAAAAAAAAACTTGTCAGATATTAATACCTACTTATCTTGTGAATTGAACAGATAAATTGATGATATTATTTAATTATCTGATAACCATATGTATGTTGTGACTACCATTGTCAAAAGAACAGTAAATAAATAAAAATAATTACAGATATAATATTATATTAAGGTTTAATTTGATAATATGCTATTTAAAGCTGCTATTTAAATATATAGACGTACACATAAAATGACTAAGTTTATAAATACATAATAATATTAGTCAACTATATAAAACAATATACTCTATCTTAAATTCCTGTTTTCACAGGAAATACAGAAATTAGGTTGTGATTGTGATATGTCGTATAGTCCTCCGGAATACAAGATATACATTATTAAGATATCAAACTGAACGCATACATACATAATGTTTTTCATGTTCTTCAAGTAACTGATCTTTGGTTTGGACGTGGTAAAAGACATTACGTGATTTCATTTTTATCTTTATATAAAAAAAACGTGATCCGAAAACTTACGTTAACTAACTTTAACGTTAATTAACTGTTTATCTGTTTATGTGTTACGACTTCACGTAAAACGGCTGGATTCATTAGAATGAAAGGCTCACAGAATGTGTTGTTAAACTAGATATGCACGCTAAAAAAATTAGAGTAAACAATTACAAACTAAAAATAATTTAATTACTTCAATGTTTAACCATATAGGAGATCATTTTATAGATAAATTATTTATTGTTATCGTTTAATTGTCATCCATTGTCACATGGGTTGATCGATCTATAAATGTACCGTGTAGGTAGCTACAATGGCCCTTGCCTACTAGTAACAAAATAAATTAAAATTAAATGTGTTTGGCGATCTGCAATCTGTCGATGGAAACTTCCTCTTTTTGTGCTACACATAAAACAGTACAAATTACAAACCATATCTGCCACACACATACAGTACGTAGACTTGTAACATTTACAATTTTTATTATTGGCAAATATTTATAATTTTATAGATAATACAATCTTCATAGTGTTAAATCTTTTTAATTATAAACAATAATAATAATAATAATTGTTTTTATAAACGAAAATGTGAGATAATAATAATATTTATTTATAACTTTTAATCTGACTTAAAATCTTTGCATGAATGTTATCATGATTAGATAAGTAATATTTTGTTGCTATTGGTAATTTTAGTATTTGTTGGTAATTTAATTATCTTAATATATATTTTTTTACATTTATCAATTGTAGTGTATTTAATTTAGATGTTAGACTCAATCATCTAATTCTCATCAAATTATCAATTTTATGCCAAATGTCTCAAACATGATTAATTATTTAAAATGTTTTAAGTTACCTACTTTGTCGTTAAATATTTATAGCCGACGTTTAAATAAAATGCGCTGACTGCGTCTGTGTTTTCAGGCTTAGTTCCACAATCGGCAGGATCGTCAGGATGTTTTCATCATCCTGACAGTCCTGCTGTTGGTAAGTATAGCTCAGTAATAGATCACGCTGCTGGTCCCACCAAAAACAGAACATAAGCTTCATGCGACGAATATTCGGCTTTGTGAAGGATGTTGATGGTGGGCCGGGCAGAACCATGACTTTTGCGCTTGGGGTTGTCATAACGAATCCACTTTTCAAATAGCCCTTCCTTATTTGGCGAGAAAAAGAAGTCCCCGCAGAAACACTTCACCTGGTACGAAATTAGTTTGAAACAATATTTGGTACTGTTGTATATGTTTTAACCAAATGATACAAGCTATTTAAGACGGCAACATACTGTAGGTTTTAGTTGGAAGGCATTGCAAACTGGAGTATTGAAACATACACATACATACTTGGCGGCCTCTTGATCGAAACGCTCATTAATTCAAGTAACCTTAGTAACCGTCGTCGCCTATATACATAAACATCACTACTAAGTAAAAACACCTTCTTTAATGAACCTATTTCGATATATCATATAGTAAAGATCTAAAAAATACTAATCTTCTATTCTTACGCAATATGGTCCGAGCGGTAAACATCAAATGATCAAAGACTAGATAAAAGATAACAACTAATTAACTTATTAGTGTGATTTTAGCAACATATTGATAATGATGTCTACATATATATATATATAGGAGTACATTTAGTGAATGAATATACATACTGTTCGGGAAAGTTATTAGGATGAGGTTAATATTATTGTTGACAGTGATATATTTGTTCCAATGCGAAGGTGCTGCTACCCTTCGCAACAATGATCTGCCGATAATCAATGATAGGCCTATTATTGGAGTCCTATCTCAGGAACAATCCGCCTACCTTCACACTAAATATCCTGTAGAGAATTATACAAGCTACATCGCTGCTTCCTACGTTAAAGATGTTGAAGCTTCTGGAGCGAGAGTTGTGCCTTTACTGTAAGTGATTTATTTTTATTAGAAATTCTAGAGCACTAAATATAATTCGCGATTTTTTTAAATTAATTTAGGGCTTATAGTCTATTTTATATGAAATATTATTAAGATCCGTATTTGTAATAGTAGTAGTATAATAGTAATAGTAGTATTTGTAATATACTGGATATAAATATAGATTTTTTTTTATTGTTATTGAAGTATTAATGATTGTAAACTACTAATAACTGTGTTTGATTTGAAAAGAATTGTAAGATTTTTTATTTTTAGAATTGGGAAGAGTCGTGAGTATTATAGAGAAATGATGAGCAAACTAAACGGGTAAGTGAAATTCCCTAATATTTACTATCAAATTATTAAGAGTTTTCTTTAGGTTATTGGAATGGCAAACATGCTGTCGGTACACTTGATAGCAAGCGATAATCGTATTGCCATTTCAGAAAATTAAGATGTCATGCCTTTTATCCTGTAATTTCACTGTCCAATCGCATTCTAAAAACTAAACACAGAATACAAAGGCAAAAATAGGTGAAACTATGGTAAATTCCATATAACAATCTCTCTGGTTAATAAGTAATTTTGTTCACTATATATTCTTTGTGTACTATATTTCATTATAATGTTATTAAATATTTATATTATGTTTAATAACATAATATTTTTAATTGTGTATTCAGAATACTTTTGCCCGGTGGAGCGACATTTTTAAATCGGACTAACGGTTATGGCGACGCTGGGCAACACATCTATGAAATAGCACAAGAATTAAACGATGCCGGGCAATACTTCCCTATATTTGGAACCTGTCTTGGATTTGAGCTTCTAATCTTACTCGCATCAGGCCGTGGCAAAGAGGAAAATAGGATAAGGTGTTACTCTTTTGAAAATCTTCCTCTTGATTTCACCGATGGTAAGACATTATGATTCTATGACAATAACATTGAAATTGACATAAAATTATTTTATTTAAAACACACTCTGTTCATATGTGCTTCATATTTTTCTGATACTGTAATAAATGAATAAAAATCTTCATCCCACGTACACTTAGATTGTGGATTGAACTAGCTGCTGAGGTTTTTTCTAGAGGCGAGACAATGGGGTTTTTCAAAATGGGTATATTAAGGTTTCTTAAAGGTCGGCAACGGCACGTGTTACCCCTGATGTTACAGACATCCACAGGTAACAGATTGGCCATATGCTTGATTGCCATCATATTTGTATAAAATAAAATAGGTATTATAATAAGTTGATACAATGGCGTCTAATTGTTACAGATTTCCGTGACAGTAAAATGTTTAAAGATGCGCCTGAGGATATTATCACACTCTTGGCAACAGAAGATGTGACAGTCAATGCCCATCAGTTCTGTATAGTTGACGAGGTTAGTGTCAGATTACATTATTTTGCAATATTACTCTGTCAATTGACATTTTATTTAATGTTTTTTTTTAATTCGATGATAATGAACCCGCCTGCGCTAACGGTTTACGCTGATGGAGCACCAATGGAGGATGATAAGATGAGCATGAGGTCTTGTCAATTAGTTGATCGTGACAAATCCACCATGAATTTATCACGATGGTTTCCAGGGGGCATCACTTGCAGGTCAACCTGACATGGTAAATTGCTAGCAATGGGATTATCAGTCCACATTACTAGCAATCCCCTACCCCTCAGTTAGGGGTACAAAATAGCCAGTATTTTTTGATGTATTTATTAAGTTTTTATCGATTAGAATGCAAGAAACAATCGTGTCGGGTTACAATGATGAGACCCTATGCGTGTACCTCGCTCTATACAAGTATTTATGTATGTCTTGAGATCTTAAAAATAATATACAATCTATAGATAATTACGACTCCTTAAGGAAATTATCGCCATAAGTTAGTTTGATCAAGTGATCGTTTTATTACATTGAATTTATATTTTAGAACCTGCAGGCTTATAACTTGGAAAATGACTGGCGTGCTACTTCTTATTCAGATGACGAATATGGAATAAAGTTCATTGCAACTATTGAACATAACAGGTAATATAAAATGTAACCATTCTAATGTTGTACCAAATATGAGGGCTACAAATTAGACGAAAGCAACAATTCTTTGCAAGTGTTAGGTACGAGATAAACTATTTTAGTTAGTTTATATACACACAGTATACATAAACGATCTTTTCAAAAGTAATTGTTAGTCAAGCCAAAAAAATTGCGTAGGTATATAGTCTTATATAGTATCTCACAACTGAGCCGTACTACAGACACGCCAAGGAAGATTTGTGATATTAGTAGACAATTATGTATTTTGTGATAATATTATCAGGTGGTGTGGTTTTCACAACAACTGCAAATGGCCTTGGTAACCAAGTGTTACGCATTCGAATTTTGTCAGTTGAGCAGGAGTTAATTTTTTAATATAATATTTTGTGAAGACTGAATGACATGTTATTTTTAAAAATTTGGTAATAAGTAATCATGGTGTTGTCAACCTGCGTCTGTTTACCTCTAGAACATACATACATGATAGTAAATTGTGTCCTCACAAACTTGAATATTTAACTATAGGTTGTACTATGGATATCTGGTTTATTTTTGAAATGAGTATTTATCCAAAAATATTTGTTTTAGGTATCCATTTTATGGTGTGCAATTCCATCCTGAGAAGAGTTCTTTTGAGTGGAAACTCTCCAAAAAATATCCACATTCTGTAAATGCTGTTGTAGCAAATAGGTACTTCATGAATTTCTTTGTTAAAGAATGTAGAAAGAGTGCCCATGCATTCAGGAGTGCCTCTGAAGAAAACAATTATATGATATATAACCATGAAGCCAAATTCACAGGAGTTCTTGGCAGTCAACATCATGAGATTTACTTTTTTGAGCCCAGAGGACCCGTCTCTAATTAAATGTGCGATGTTCATATAATACTGGCATGAATAAAATTATTTTGTCATTTATATATCTAGTGTTATTTTAATTTTGATTATCAAATATGTAATATAAATTGTAAGAAATTGTGGATGGAAATGTTTTGAATATACATAAAGAATTTCCAGGTCAAATAATCATTGAAAATTCATGGGCACATTTCCTGCTGTGCTGAAAATTATGTTCATATATTGTAGTATACCACTTTAGTCTCATACTAATTTAGCAATGATTGATGTTCATTTAAAGTACAGAGCAAGGAGCTTATGTTAGTACATAAAAATAAAAATTTATTTATTTATAAATCATCATTATTACATAGTATAAAACAAAGTCGCTGTCGTTGTCTGTACCTATGTATGCATAAATCTTTAAAAATACGCATCCGATTGTGAAGCGGTGTTTTTTAATAGATAGAGTGATTCTAGAGGTAGGTTTATATACATAATAATACAAAGTCGGGGCGAGTAGCTAGTATTAAGATAAACCTTGATTGGAAAATCATTTACAAACAACCATCTGCATTTGATGCTTGTCATGATTATTTAGGTAGTCTACAACAGCGGGAGCCGCCCTTCGATTGGGGTTGAAATAAATAAAAATGAATCCCTCTTATATATTTTACGTTTGAAATCTCTAGGATTATGCATCGGATTTAATTTTTGCAATCAGTTATGGCATGTCAACAGAAATATTGAATTTAACTTGTTTAAAAATAATGTAAATTAATAATATTATAATTTGTCGGTAATAATGTTTCAGTGGGTTTATTTGTACCTCGTGACGGCCACGGTGGTTAGGCGGTTAGCTACGCCACTTTACTTATGGTGATCACGGGTTTGATTCTTCGCACGGTGCAAAGATTTGTATTTATCAATATCATTGCTTGTACTGTTCTGGGTGTTTGCAGTGTATTATGTATGCATGTACAAGAAAATCTAAATATTTCCTAGTACGTTGGACCTAGGACGCTTTTTGGGACTAGAGGACGATGTGTGAATTATTATTATATATGTATAATCTATACATATAAATAAAATTGGAGTGTTTGTTTGTAATATTGGAATAATCGTTTTATATCATATGCATATGAATATAAATAAGTGTATGTACACACCAAAATAACATTTTTTACAACTTTTGTCTGTCTGTCTGTCTGTTTGTTCCGGCTAATCTCTGAAACAGCTAGACCGAATTTGACGGGACTTTTATTGACAGGTAGCTGGTGTAATAAGGAGTAACTTAGGCTACTTTTATTTTAGAAAATAAAGTTATATTCTACGCGGAAGAATTCGCGGGTACAGCTAGTAAAAAATAAAAATAAATGTATTGGACTAACACGACAGTATCTAAACTATATTATTTCCAAAAAACAACTTCAAATTTATTTTTGAAACAAATACATGCAATTTAATATGCCTAGATTTTCTAAGAATTGGTCAACGAATGCAGTTCATTGGACAATTCTTAGAAAATGAATCGTTGATAAAATATTCAAATTATTTGGACTTCTTTTGTTCTTCGAATAAAAATTAATTAAATATTTATGTATTCTATTTAGGTTCTCAAATATGATGGAATTGATTACTTCTATCATTGTCACCTGGGCATAAACAAAGAAAAAATAATATATCTACTTGATATTAAAACAACACCGTCCTCTGTGGATAAAAGGTAGGAGGTACAAGTTTGTTTTTTTTACTTTTTTACCGATTAAGTACTTTGTTTTTAAGTTGAAGCTTTTTATTGTGTATGTTTAACTGCTTATATAACAATAAGTCTACATTTTTTATACTGTGCTTTATTTATATTTTTATTTCCTACAAATATATTTAAGGGTTATCGACCTTATAGCCTTGACTTTACTTATACCTTTTATTTATTTTTGTTAGACAAACGACTTCGTATCTTGTTTATTGGAAAACGGTCTGTGACAGGGTGGAACGTGACAGAATTCTAATGAAGGTAACTATTTTCCAGGATATATTTTTTCGTATTTGCATATATTTATTTACCTTAATTATATCGGAAGAGAAGGTATTATCCTGTATTATAACCTGTTACATTTAATAAGAATATAGGTATATGAGTACTTAATGGTAAGTGTAAACTGACGAGGAGTTTTTTACTTGATTGAAACTTTTTAATGAAACTATTCAATAGGAGTAGAGTAAAAAATTAAAAATAATAATCGCAACATTTTTAAAATGTGGGTGTGTAATGAATTAATATAAAAATAGTTAATTTATTTGCAGATTTCCATTTTGTGTCTTAATTGTGGTCAGTTTAATTACTGTTTTGTCTAGTTTTCGTTTTGGCAAGGATTAACTCTGTATAGGGCTCATGTCTAAATTTAACTTCACGTAATTTTCCATCCCATTTTAGATTTATAGGTAAAGACTTATTTCTTAATTAGGTGTACAATATTTTTATGCTAGAAAATAGTAACTTATCTAAACTTTTAGGAAATGATTTTATCGTAAACAGGATTTTTATACGTTCCGCATGTCTCTTCTAATTCCTTAATTATTTTTTTGTACGTAAAGAAGAATAAAATCAAGCGCATTAAAATGTACACAATAGAGAACTCTCTCATTTTTTATGATTCAATTTGAGGTCAAAGACCCGTTAATAAATCTTTGCTTTGGTTAATAACTTCAATAAAAGCCTTAATCCTAAACGTTGACAGGCATTTACGCTACACAAAAGACTGCCGATGATTGATGGGTTGATTTCTTAAGGGTTTGTCACATTGCCATCGGGGTGGGATAATGACCTACGTTATTTAGTTAAAATATTCATTTAATCCAATTCTGTAATAATAAAATTTGTTATAGATTAATTGATTAGCAATATGTTAGATGCTGCTGAACAAAGCAAGACGGGCTAGGTGGTAGGAAATTGTTAGTAATGTGGACTGTTGATCATGTCAGTTTGACCTACATGCGGTTTTTGCTGGAAACTATCGTGATAAATTCCTAGTAAATTCACCACGATGTCCCAAGGATGGAATGTTCATCCTATCATTTTCCACTGGTGCCTCGCCAGCGAATACCGTTAATGCAAACGGGTGCACCATTTCATTATCATCCATTAAAAAAAGTAATCTTACGGTTTAGGCACCGCTTTACTGAGTATGATAATATAATGAATATTGATCTGAGTGTTTTGATATATATTTATATCTGTTGTTTAGTACCCATTATGTAATATTATCTGTGGTTCCTATACCTAATACAAACTTTGGGATTAGATGGCACTGTGTGAATTGTCATTAGATATTATAACACGTGACATGAGACTGTGACATTAAACGTAACATTAATTTAATAAGTATTATTATAATATTAACATAGATTAATTGACAAAGTTATACAAACATATATCTATAAAACTATTTTGAGAAATAACATAGGTTTTGCATAATTCCCATATTGTAAAATTTTAATTTACCACAACTATGGCAATAAATTTGTTAGGTTTCTGTGTAAAATATTTTTCAGGATATGGTAGTAGGTAGATGTTATCTGTATTGGAATCTACTAACAAGTTACAAATATTATATTGTATTTTCATCAAGGTCTGATTTCAAAATTTTATATTTAGTACTTATAGATATTATTTTGAATGTGGATAGAATATAAAATGATCAGATTTTATAAAATTAAAGAATAAGATTCTCGTATCTGTCTCAGGGAGAATGAAATAAAATAAATCGTGTATATTAGAAGGTGGTTATTCTATATCCATATAAGTTCACGTAATAAATCGCATTACGATTTATCTTTAGTTGGACCCCAACAGAACGAATGTAGGATCATTTCATAAATCACGTTCATTTAACAAAACGGTAATAGCGACATATTGTGTTGTATGACAGAAATATTTATTAGGTATCTACTGGAAGAAAAGTTTTTATTATGGTTTTCTGTCAGATAAGTTTTACGATGTTGGGAGAAAGGTCAATAAACTTATAAATTAGGGCTCTCTGTGTTAACATTTATTTATATAAGTTGGAAACAAATATATATACGAAACTTATCATGGTTTATAATTGTCCTGATAGTAGAAATAACATAGAATGATAAAATTATTATAGACATCCTCGGTGGTCTGGCGATTTAGCAAACCGCTTAAATTCATACGATTGCGGGTACGATTTCTCGCTCGGTGCAAACATTCCTAAGTATGATCGTTTGTATCGGTATGGGTGTTTTCTATGTATGTTATGTGTTAAACAAAGTTCAGTAGCTTTAACAGTCGATAAGTGTACGGATACCGTGAGTGCTTTGTGTCGCGAACTTTCGTTGAACAATCTTGTGACGGTAGATAAAAAACTGCTGTCACCTATCTACATTGACATCGCTGTTACTCCAGGCAGCTCCTGACCACGGCTAGTGCAACCTAGTCGAAACGTCGAGATAGGTAAACCTACATTCATTTGCCATAAAATTATTCGTGTTAAGACCTGGTTATTAACCAGGTCTTAACTTTAAATTTAAATGTAATGTATTATAATGTTATGTATGTATTTAAAAAAACATTGTATTTATATTAGTCGTATAGTACCTACATATAGCACAGACTCTGTTTACCGTGAGACTAGATGGCGCTGTGTATTATTCAAGGTTATTTATTTTATTTTTTATAATTAAAATAAAAGTTCAACAATTATATAACCTATTGCAATTACAAAGGTTTACGACTTAATCCTCCTTTATAATTGTATTTACATTATTTGGGTTATAGATGTTTTTAATATTAAACAGCCAAGTTTTTGTTCATGTAACCTCAGATAGTAAGTTTCGGATTTATTTTAGTGTTTTATAAAAGTTTAAAAAAGAAATCTTATCTTCTATAATTATATTAATTTAGACAACTATGTGACTTATAAATAATTCTGTGAAAAAGGGTGACATCTTTTTTCTTATCTGATAGAAGGAGTTTGGAATACGTAGGTATCTATTTAACAAGATTC